TTCGGGAATTATTGCTGGAGGGGAGGTGTGGGAAACGTTGATGGGGGTGAGAACTGTTGATGATGGGGGATGTGGGAAGTGTTTATGAAGGGGGGGGAGTGTTGATGGGGGGGTGGGAAGTGTTGATGATGGCGGTGTTGATGGGGGTGTGGGAAGCGTTGATGGGAGAAGAGTTGATGGGGGGGGGGGTGGTGGTGTTGGGGGGCATGGTAAGTGTTCATGATGGGGGGGGGGGGAAATGTTGTTGATGGGGGATGTGGGTAGTGTTGTTGATGGGAGGTATTTGAAGTGTTGATGATGGGGGGGGGCTGGTGGTGATGATGGTGGGTGTGGTAAGTGTTGATGAAGGGGAAGGTTTGGGAAGTGTTGGTGGGTGGGGAAGTGTTGTTGGGGGGGGCGGTTGTGTTGATGGGGGCTGTTGTGTTAATGGGGGTGTGAGAAGTGGTGGTGATGGGGGGGGGGGAAGTGGTGTTGATAGGGGGTGTTGATGCATGTGGGAAGTGATGGGTGGTGGGAAGTGTTGATGATACGGGGTGTGGGAAGTGTTGATGTGGGGGGTGTGGGAAGCGTTGATGTGGGGGTGTGGGAAGCGTTGATGATGGGGGTGACGGTGTTGATGGGGGGGGGGGGGTGTAGTAAGTGTTGATGAGGGGGAAGATTTGGGAAGTGTTGATGAGTGGGGAAGTGTTGTTGGGGGGGGGGGGCGGTGGTGTTGATGGGGGTGTGGGAAGTGTTGTTGATGGTGGGGTGTGGGTAGTGTTTGATGATGTGGGACGTGTTGGGGTGGGCGGTGGTGTTAGGGGGGGGGTGGAAAGTGCTGATGATGGGGGGGGGGGCGAAGTCTTGTTGACGGGGGCCGTAGGAAGTGATGGAGGGGGGTGTTGATGTGAGGGGTGTGGGACGTGTTTATGATAAGGGGAAGGTTTGGGAAGTGTTGTTGATGGGAAAATGTGGGAAATGTTGATAGGGGGTTGTTGTTGATGGGGGTGTGAAGTGTTGATGAGGGAGGATATTTTTCTTTGGAGGAGGGGGGGGGAGGGATGGAGTTGTAGCCACTAATACAGCATATACACTAGTCGATGGCCACTGTAGAGGTGTAGTGACAAGCACGCCTGACTGTGACAGAGAGAAGGGTTAGGCTGCAGGAGTGTGGTGGTGGGGTAGGACTGAAAATGCTTGGGGCAGGAAGGAGTGGGTAGAACTAGAAAATGGAGAGGTAACGGTAGGGGAAGTGTAAGTGTGTGTGTGTGTGTGTGTTTCTTGAAGCTGTGGAGAGTTTCTCAGTCTGGGAGTCATGGGAGAGTGGGAGTTGAGCACTACTGAGTGGGAGGGAGGGAGGGAGGGGGGTGGGAGGTAAGCGTCTCGTAGTGCCAGACTAGCAGACTCCTTCACCTTCAAGAGGATAGTCTCGAGGGACGCCAGGAATCCCACCCACAACGCCAGGAATGACTCACACCACCCCCCCCTCCCCCCACCCCCCACACACACACACACACACACACACACACACACACAGTCGCTTGTGTCTGGGCGACCGTTTTAGTGTCCCCTGGCAGCTCGTCCTCATAAACAAAGGCCAAAGTCCATTCCATCCACCCGCCAAACCCCCAGCTGTTTATGAATGAAAAACGGTTTACACAAGACTCTCAACTGATGCCATCCGAACACTTCCGGAACAAGTGCTTCGCTGACTTATGTTCGAACCACAACGCTATAAATGCTTCACCCACGTACTACAAATACAAATAATCGCCAACAGAACCTAAACACCTAACCTAACCAGTGCCTAAGTATGCACAATATGCTAATACATAATATTAATTTATATTTGAGAAAATTCTTATTTTCAACGAATAGCATATTAATATTGATGTCAGCGTCTTTGGGGTCGACCGCTGGGTGGAATAGACTTGATCTGAGGACGGGAGGCCGCCTGGTGAATGACCAGTGGTGGTGGACTTGACCATATCGTATTTAAATGCGATAACGTTTCTGGTCCTTTTCGATAAAGTACATTTTGTCATTATAATAATCTCTGTACTCGTGTACATTATAATAAAAATATAATTATGATAATGTGCTCCAGCACAGGTCGACCAAGCGGACAGCACGCTGGACTTGTGATCCTGTGGTCCTGGGTTCGATCCCAGGCGCCGGCGAGAAACAATGGGCATAGTTTCTTTCACCCTATGCCCCTGTTACCTAGCAGTAAAATAGGTACCTGGGAGTTAGTCAGCTGTCACGGGCTGCTTCCTGGGGGTGGAGGCCTGGTCGAGGACCGGGCCGCGGGGACACCATAAAAGCCCTGAAATCATCTCAAGATTACCTCAAGATAGCATTCAGAAGGCTTTCTTAAATTGCCTAGTTTCATATTTCATTGTGATGTATAGTGTCTGGCGAGGTGATGTCCCGTTTTCTGTTCGCAGGTCCTCGGGTTGGTTAGGTTCTGGCATTTTAGTACACCAGTTTAGCGACGTTGGGAACGCTGAGGCTGCGTGGTTGCTAGTTTGACACATTTTTCAAACATTTCTCTTGGCAGCATATCTTGACCAAATGTATATTTTAAGCCAGAATGTCATTTTTTAACTTTGTATCTCGTGTTGTTTTTCCCAGGACGATGGGAAGAGAGCGGTGATAATACTGGTGATTGATACAAGAGTGACCTTGGTGGGACTTGTCTCTCTCTCCTTAGTGAGATCAATATAGCTGTTCTCTTAGAACAATATACTTCTGTTCTAGTGAGATCAGTATAGCTTTGTTCTCCTAGTGAGATCAGTATACCTCTGTTCTATTGAGATCAATATACCTCTGGTCTCCTAGTGAGATATATGTTCTCTTTGAACAATATTCTGTTGTAAGAGAACAGAACTGTTCTCTTAGTGAGAACAATATATGTGAAAAGTTAGTGGGAGAAGATTTGGGAGCGACTCCATAAGGTTAGAGAGGTTGTGTGGTGTCTAACGCTTCTAGTTTGGTTGGTCTTTGTTGATGAGGACGGATCGCCTCAACAAAGGCCAAATGCTTGTTAGACCACCCGCCAGACCCACCTGTTTAGACCACCTACCAGACCCACCTGTTTCATTGAAAAATACTTTCCACACGATTCACAACTGAAGACGTGTATATTTTTCTTTGAACACAACTTGGTTCACGTCCTCAGCTTGAATTGCACTTCTAACTGCGCCATCCACTTCCTGCAAATATAAATTACTGCCAAAAGAATCTATTAACCCGTTAGGTCTAACTCTTCAGCACATGTCACTATATACAGTGATAATATTGTACACAATTGATAGTTTCTCAAATGCGTTAAAGTTGATGAATGGGTCTTTGGGGGGCCGGCTGCCGCTTGGACGAGCCTAGCCTGAGGACGGGAGGGTTGCTACACAACACCACTCCCAATTTGACGATGTTCACATCGTGGGAACGAGATAAAGAACACGGATGTGTCGGTTATCTAAATTCTAAAAAAATTAATCGAAATTGATAAACTGAAAATTATCAGAGTAATGAGGAGTAGGAATCTAATGCCAAGAAATAGAGATTTGAACTGAAGACAATATTAGTATCTTGAGGTTATCTTGAGATGATTTCGGGGCTTTAGCGTCCCCGCGGCCCGGTCCTCGATCAGGCCTCATTTTTGTTACACTCGGGAAGCAGCCCGTAGCAGCTGTCTAACTCCCAGGTACATATTTACTGCTAGGTAACAGGGGCATCAGGGTGAAAGAAAAATATGCTCATTTGTCTCCGCCTCCACTGGGGATCGAACTCTGAACCTCATGACTACGAATCCGAAGCGTTGTCCACCCAGCTGTCAGACGCCCTAATTAAGTCCTGAGTACTGATTAATTATCGAATATAGTGATTAATATCGGTTGCGAAATGGTAGTACACCCGCCCCACGCCGCGCAGTTGTGCACATGATGACCCCGGCGGTAACCCCCGACGTGTTTCATAATCACTCACCAACAGCAGCCCATCACGAGATAACAAGAGGGCTTGGCGCCAGATTCACGAAAGAACTAACGCAAGCCTTTACGAACCTGTACATCTTTCCTCAATCTTTGGCGACTTTGTTTACAATTATTAAACAGTTAATGAGCTCCGAAGCTCCAAGAGGCTGTTTATATCAATAACAACAGTTGAATGGGAAGTTTTCATGCTTGTAAACTGTTTAATAAATGTAACAAAAGCCGTCAAAGATTGAGGAAAGATGTACACGTTCGTAAGTGCTTGTGTAAGTGCTTTCGTGAATCTGGCCCCTGGTTTAGTCGTGCTGGAAGACCTTTCCACTTATGTTGCACCAGGAAATTCCTATCTACCTGTTTTGTTCCACATGTCTTCATCTCCCTCTGGTCAATTGTCTCCGTCAATTTAGCCATTATTGAAGTTTTCCCATAGTAGCTTTGCTCTCAGGATATTTATACAGGTTCTGTTCGTGTTTTTGTAATCGTTCCTCTATCTTCTTCTGTGGTTCTCATGGGGAGGGGGGGGGGGAGGGGGGTTGGAGGTTACAGTCAGCTCTGACACTCTTCTTCCTGTGAAATGATTCTCTCGTAAGTTGTTTGCTTCCTCAATAATAACCTCTACGACAGTCGCGTTTCTTTTGACAACATGAAGTGTCACTCCTCCGTTCTTGTGTGATCATGCCACCCTTCTTAGGCCTCCAGTACACCTGGTAACCCCGCCTCGGGCTCCATCCATCACAACAGGCACTCTGCATTAACCTACCATTCTCCTGTCTGTATCTGTTACCAACTTTTCATCAATTTATTTATCCATTAGTGCCGCCTAATTCACAGTTGTATTGCAAGCTTTATAGTAACACTATGGGCGTATTTTCCGGCGTTCAATTTTTAGTGTTTACTAAAAGAATCTCTGGAAAGGTGCGGTAACAATGCCGAGGTGGTGGCACCATGGCACCTTTGGTGGTGTGAAGAGACAGGTGGCACAGCGACACCTGTGGGGGCTCTCACACCGTGCATCTCAACTGATAAACAGCAGAGCATCAGATGTCAATAAGAGCCCTCAGCACACCCCAGCCAGCACTCGCCAAGTGAGTCAGGACTCCACTGAACACGCTACATATTCAGCACATGATCGCACTGACAAATTAGTGACGTCATCTTCATATACCGACGTTTCTTCTAGCACACAGGTAACTAACCAGCTCATTCTCTCTCTCTCTAGTTAGCAATTGTCAAATTTTAGGTGGTTTTGCGTAACTAGACAGCTCGTTCTGTTAATTTGCCACTATGTATAAAATCTAACCTAACCAGAAACGTACAAACCCAATCAACCCACCGAACCTATATCACGCCGATGCATGGAAAACGGATATATGTGAGTTTTTACTTTTCATAGTAGATTGCACATGTAACGTTGATTATCATTACAAAACACAATCTATTGGTTGAAAGAGTAAGGTAGCGTGGGGAGACACCAAGCGTAGTGTAAGGTAGCGTAAGGAGACACCAAGCCTAGGGTAAGGCAGCGTAAGGAGACACCAAGCCTAGTGTAAGGTAGCGTAAGGAGACACCAAGCCTAGTGTAAGGTAGTGTGCCTTACCCAGCCACAGCACGTGAAAGGTGAACTCCGTTGATTGTTTACAGTGAGGCGAGCGTGGGACCCGATGCCGCCGACGACGATGTTGTTGGTGGTGGCGATGGTGGTGCTTGACTCTGCTCAAGCCTTCCTCCCCACCAAGCTCAACCACTCCGACCCACAAGTGATCTCTCTCCTCTGTCCCGACGCCATGGTGGGCCTCACCTGGGACCATAAAGTAAGTCTTCCTGCCGTAAAATGTGCAAATTTATGTGTAGCATAATGTGTGCGGGTAAACTTGTGTTCTTAAGAATAACCTCTGTTCCTTGGGTGAGATTTGTGCCTCGTAACTTTGAGTAAAAGTCTTGACCGTCTTAATGTTCTCAGGCCATTACGAGAGAAGCCCTGAGAAGGGAGGTAAGACGGTTCTTCATGGAGAACCCTCCGGTAGAGGACCTCGACGCGTTCTACATCCCTGAGGACGCCTCCCTCACCCAGGTCTTCAGGGCCGTCTACGGTCCCAACTCCTCTCCGACCCGCTTCATCAAGGTAATGATCGCAGACACCTTGGCCTATCCTTACAACCTCCTTATCCACTTCTTACAATCTCCTTATCCTCTCCTTGAATACTGTGGATACATTTACTAATATAATAAGGGTATTATGAAAAAACGTAATTGGAGGTGAATAATTGGGAAAACTGTGCAATAATTTGGCCAAGAAGGCGTGAATTAATTCCAAACACAAATTGAATGCAAAATTCACCATAAAACTCGCATTTGGTTTTGGAATTGCCTTTTATAGCATTAACATTTTCTTAGTAATACAAGGAAAGTATTTACAAATGACAAAGTATACCCAATATTATGATGATGATTGTTTCATAACCGACCAAAACTACGATCAATGAACTAAGCTAAAACAAGAATATGGAGAGTCTAAGTTATTATTTTATAGTAAAAAATAATTCTTGTTCATATTCCGAAATGTTACTTTTTAAATATTGTCATTCTAACAGAATTAAGAGACGATATAAACTATTGTATTATTAATGGATGAATATAAAGTTTATTGGTAAGTAAAAATGATTATTTAAAGTTAAAAGAGGGTAGAAATAGACGATGGCTGAAGATGCCTTAAATGTTTAACTAAGTTTTTTATTTCGCATATTAACAACGTGGCTCCACATTACCGATAACCCCAGTAGCAAATAAGTAACATGTGAAGTAACATGTACGTATTAAGTAACATGTGTGTGTTATTTAACGTGTGTGTGAAGATGTGTAAAAGTATGGTAGCGTGTGTGTATGTGTGTGACTTCAGGCGGTGAACAACATAGCGTGGAGCAACGCCATGACGGAGGCGAGCGGACAGATGAGGTACAACGCTGCCCTCCACATGGACGGAGAGACCATCACCAGGGGCCACTACCTCCTGCAGAGTCGCTACCTCAACCTGGTGGCCGCCATCAACGTCGACCACGACTACTCTTATGGCAGACACCTCCTCGGCACCTCTCTTAACGCCATCCAGGTGAGGATAACCTACTCCTGCAGTAGTCACGTGTACACTCTACTCTCCCAGTCGTGCCAAGGAATGAAAGGGGAGACTGATTTGAATTCACTTGGTATACGATTGTTGCATATAAACTATTAATGATAAAATGAGGAGTTCAAAGAACGGTGCAAAAACTAGAGATGGAATAATGATAATTTTTAAAGTACTTTACCAAATAACTGATGAATAAAGGGAGATAAGGGAAGAGTGTTATTCAAAACTATTAACACAAAGGATAGTAATTATATCGTATATAATTAACCTCCTTCAAAATGTTACTCAAATGTTGCCCAAATGGTCACATTTCATCCACGCTTCGAATGTAGACATTCTCACAGGTACAGAAGGTGTGCAACCATGCTGTCCACTACGCCAGAGGCACCTATACTGCCTCTCAAATCATCACCTTCCACATACTCAAACGTCTTGAAAACACAGCAAAGTAGCCGTAATCACACCCAATTATCCTCCCGCCTGCAGGACTTCTACTCCCAGACGACATGGGTGGAGTTGGGGCGGACGGGAGTGGCCGAGGGGCTTGGCATTCCTGGTATGGACATCGGGGACGTTGCCGGACCGCTAGACGCCGTCTGCAGCGACTGTGGTAACGCTGTAGTAAGTAGGAACCCCTGTGCCGAGGGAGGGAGGGAGGTACTTGCAGCAGAAGGGTGCAGAAAGCTAGCAGGCCTGCAGCAAGGGACTGAGATAACTCGAGATAAGAAGGGGGGACCATTGCAGCAGGAAGGGGGGTGAGGCTCCTGCATGAAACGAGTAGAAAGTATATATTAGACTAATGAGGGTAGTAGTAGAGACGGAAAGAGCTCGAGTAGTGTGTGTAGAAATAGATATAATAGTGCCTCTCATTCTCCTGTTTAGATAGTAGTTTTCGTAACTATGTGCACCATAGTATAAACATTGACGTACGAAGCAATTACATAGTAGAATTTGGTACTATTCACTTTCTAGAGCCCGAAAAAAAAGTAAGCTAAACAATATTAAATATTCCTAGACCTAGTATAACATACTTGTGTACTATATTATGCCTAGGAAGGTTAGGTTAGTTTCTTTGCAATATCAATACAAAACCTTTTGCGGCATGTCCAAATTCAATATTACAGATTTCTGATTTATAGTTACGCTGTACGTCGGTATATATACTATGGTACATATCGTTACTACAAGTACTACCATAACAGGAAGATGGGCTGAATAGTAAAGTAAGTTGTAGAATACATAGGCACTAGAGTAACGTAGCAGTATACAGCGCTAGACCAATGTTGGTAGTGAAGGTAGTAGGTGCTTCATCAGTTCATTGGTGGCTTGTTATAAATACTATTCACAGTAAGAACATCTGCACTGGAGCACAAACTAACGTGAGAAAGCTAGCATTGTGTTCAAGCAGGCCAGTGTGCCAGCCAGGCGGCAAGCAGGCAGGCAGGCAAGCGAGCCAGCAGTTAGGCAGGCAGGCAAGCCAGCCAGCAGGCAGGTAAGCGAGCCAGCCAGCCGGCAGGCAGGTAAGCGAGCCAGCCAGCCGGCAGGCAGGCAAGCGAGCCAGCCAGCAGGCAGGCAAGCCAGCCAGCAAGAAAGCAGGCAATAGTGGAGATAAACAAGGTTGCAGACTACACATCTGCCAAACAGTAAAGAGGGCATATTTGCAGGGAGAGTGTCGCGACAACGTGGTCCCGGGCAGCCCCCTGAGCAGCGGCTACTTCGAGTACAGTGTCCCTGCAGCGCTGAGCTACATCGTCCACAAGCCCACCAACATCACTGGTAGGTGGTGACTTATGATGGCGGTGGTGTTGAGTGACTGGCGTTAGTATCTGTAGTGAGCGATTGTTATTTGCTGGTAGTTGCTTGTGGCGACGGGTGTAGATGTTTTGGTAGCTGGCTGTCGGAGGTGGTTGGGGGACGTTGTAAGAATAGTCGAGGAAGGAAGATAAGATAATGTATGTAATAATGATTAAAACTGATTTTAAAGATATTAAAGACTGACAAAGTTGCACCTGTTCATTCCCACTCGACGTCACCACCGGGAGCCAGGTCCACCAACCACACTGTTTGTGGGTTATGGCTAGAACCGGTTTGACTGGTTTGTGACGCTGCCGTTGTGCGTCTTTGTTCTGGAATGAGTAGTTGAGGTGAAACTGAGAGGCGAGAGTGAATGGTTATTATCCCGAGGTTTTTGGTGTCGTGTTAACAAGTAGCAAGTGTAGATGGTTGTAAGTAGTAGTGTTGTTTATGGTGCTGGTAGCAGAAGTTGTGTAATAGTATTAGTAACAGTAAGAGGACTCGGTAATGGTAATAGTGGTGGTATTAGACATTGTAATCGTCGTTGTGGCTGAAGAAATTGGCAAAAGTAATTGCTTTAACACAAATATTAGTATTAGTTTGATGAATTAAAAGTTAGTGAGAAAGTTGACTAATTTGTAACACTCAAAAGGCCAAAGTGTTGAGGAGAGGTCAGGTGTTAGAGTAACGCTGCGTGCCTTCGTCAGGCAAGTGCAGTCATGGAGGCTCTGTGGATGACTCGGCCACGAAGCAAGCCATCGGAGGCATCAACAAGGAGTCGTCCTCGCCCTGCTTCTCCCCACATCATTACCTCCACCAGCAGGCTGTGGACCTCGCCATAAAGGTCGGTCACCACTCTCCAACATCCTCCTTCATTCCAATACCAACTTGGTGCTGAGTATATATGACTTTCGTGGTTTATTTCCCTTCCTTTTCCAAGCTTCACAAAACCACCAACACACACACTGGTTTCATAAGTTCCTCAGACCCGTCACCAGCCCCATAAAGGTCTCTGGCTCGAGCGCTCACTCGTTCTCCTTTTAATAATATTGACATTTGTTCTCCACGTCTTTTTCCCTTACCTGCAGGCAAGTCAATACTACTTGGGTTACCTGCGCAATGCCGTCGGCGACGACCAGTTCCGGCGCCTGCTGGACCTCTACCAGAACTCGGCCCTATCAATCGTCATTGATACCACAGGCTCCATGGCGTTCGAGATTTCTGCCGTGAAGACGGAAGCTCAACTTATAGTGGAGAGAACTGACCCCGAGCTCTACATCCTCGTGCCCTACAATGACCCCTGTGAGTATGGTGACCCGAGTGTGTCCAGACTCGTCTCTATTTCTAACATTAAATGTATTCTTGTTACAAAATTCTCATTTGTAACTCCAACATGAGCTAAGCGCTGACGTTCCTGGTGCCCGTGTCTCTTGTCTTGCAGCATATGGCCCGGTTACACTGACTGCGGACCCGGACGAATTCCTTGACGAATTGAAACTGTTGGATGCGTTTGGTGGGTGTTGCTGCGTGGAGGAGAAGTTCTGGCACGGGCTGCGGCTGGCTCTGGACAACACCCCGGACTACTCTAATATCTACTGCTTCACCGATGCTGGAGCCAATGACGCAGAGCTTATGGACGGAGTTATTGCCTTAGCCACATCTAAGCACTGCAAGGTAACATCACCACATCGGTAAGGGGTCTGGGACGCTACTTGGTAAGGGTCCGTGGTAAGGGTCTGGGACGCTACTTGGTAAGGGTCCGTGGTAAGGGATCTGGGACGCTACTTGGCAAGGGTCTGGGACGCTACTGGTAAGGGTACGGGACGCTACTTGGTAAGGGTCCGTGGTAAGGGGTCTGGGACGCTACTTGTTAAGGGTTTGGGACGCTACTTGTTAAGGGTTTGGGACGCTACTTGTTAAGGGTTTGGGACGCTACTTGGTAAGGGTCTGGGACGCTACTTGGTAAGGGTCCGTGGCAAGAGTCTGGGACGCTACTTGGCAAGGGTCTGGGACGCTACTTGGCAAGGGTCCGTGGTAAGGGGTCTGGGACGCTACTTGGTAAGGGTCCGGGACGCTACTTGGTAAGGGTCTGGGACGCTACTTGGTAAGGGTCCGTGGTAAGGGTCTGGGACGTTACTTGGTAAGGGTTTGGGACGCTACTTGGTAAGGGTCCGTGGTAAGGGTCTGGAACGCTACTTGGTAAGGGTTTGGGACGCTACATAAGGGTCTTTGACGCTACTTGGTAAGGGTCTGTGACGCTACTTGGTAAGGGTCTGTGACGCTACTTGGCAAGGGTTTGGGACGCTACTTGGTAAGGGTCTGGGACGCTACTTGGTAAGGGTCCGTGGTAAGGGATCTGGGATGCTACTTGGTAAGGGTTTGGGACGCTACTTGGTAAGGGTCCGTGGTATGGGGTCTGGGACGCTACTTGGGAAGGGTACGGGACGCTGCTTGGTAAGGGTCTGGGACGCTACTTGATAAGGGTCTGGGACGCTACTTGGTAAGGGTCCGTGGTAAGGGTGTGGGACGCTACTTGGTAAGGGTCTGGGACGCTACTTGGTAAGGGTCTGGGACGCTACTTGGTAAGGGTACGGGACGCTACTTGGTAAGGGTACGGGACGCTACTTGGTAAGGGTACGGGACGCTACTTGGTAAGGGTCCGTGGTAAGGGGTCTGGGACGCTACTTGGTAAGGGTCTGGGACGCTACCTGGTAAGGGTCTGGGACGCTACTTGATAAGGGTTTGGGTCGCTACTTGGTAAGGGTTTGGGACGCTACATAAGGGTCTGGGACGCTACTTGGTAAGGGTCTAGGACGCTACTTGGTAAGGGTCTGGGACGCTACTTGGTTAGGGTCTGGGACGCTACTTGGTAAGGGTCTGGGACGCTACTTGGTAAGGGTCTGGGACGCTACTTGGTAAGGGTTTGGGACGCTACTTGGTAAGGGTTTGGGACGCTACTTGGTAAGGGTTTGGGACGCTACTTGGTAAGGGTCTGGGACGCTACTTGGTAAGGGTCTGGGACGCTGCTTGGTAAGGGTCTGGGACGCTACTTGGTAAGGGTCTGGGACGCTACTTGGTAAGGGTCTGGGACGCTACTTGGTAAGGGTCTGGGACGCTACTTGGTAAGGGTACGGGACGCTACTTGGTAAGGTTACGGGACGCTACTTGGTAAGGGTCCGTGGTAAGGGTCTGGGACGCAACTTGGTAAGGGTCTGGGACGCTACTTGGTAAGGGTCCTTGGTAAGGGTCTGGGACGCTACTTGGTAAGGGTCCGTGGTAAGGGGTCTGGGACGCTACCTGGTAAGGGTCTGGGACGCTACTTGATAAGGGTTTGGGTCGCTACTTGGTAAGGGTTTGGGACGCTACATAAGGGTCTGGGACGCTACTTGGTAAGGGTCTAGGACGCTACTTGGTAAGGGTCTGGGACGCTACTTGGTTAGGGTCTGGGACGCTACTTGGTAAGGGTCCGTGGTAAGGGGTCTGGGACGCTACTTGGTAAGGGTCTGGGACGCTACTTGGTAAGGGTCTGGGACGCTACTTGGTAAGGGTCTGGGACGCTACTTGGTAAGGGTCTGGGACGCTGCTTGGTAAGGGTCTGGGACGCTACATGGTAAGGGTCTGGGACGCTACTTGGTAAGGGTCTGGGACGCTACTTGGTAAGGGTACGGGACGCTACTTGGTAAGGGTCCGCGGTAAGGGTACGGGACGCTACTTGGTAAGGGTACGGGACGCTACTTGGTAAGGGTACGGGACGCTACTTGATAAGGGTTTGGGACGCTACTTGGTAAGGGTTTGGGACGCTACATAAGGGTCTGGGACGCTACTTGATTAGGGTCTGGGACGCTACTTGATTAGGGTCTGGGACGCTACTTGGTAAGGGTACGGGACGCTACTGGGTAAGGGTACGGGACGCTACTTGGTAAGGGTTTGGGACGCTACTTGATAAGGGTCTGGGACGCTACTTGGTAAGGGTCTGGGACGCTACTTGGTAAGGGTCTGGGACGCTACTTGGTAAGGGTACGGGACGCTACTTGGTAAGGGTCCGTGGTAAGGGTCTGGGACGCTACTTGGTAAGGGTACGGGACGCTACTTGGTAAGGGTTTGGGACGCTACATAAGGGTCTGGGACGCTACTTGGTAAGGGTCTGGGACGCTACTTGGTAAGGGTTTGGGACGCTACTTGGTAAGGGTTTGGGACGCTACTTGGTAAGGGTCTGGGACGCTACTTGGTAAGGGTCTGGGACGCTACTTGGTAAGGGTCTGGGACGCTACTGGGTAAGGGTCTGGGACGCTACTTGGTAAGGGTACGGGACGCTACTTGGTAAGGGTCCGTGGTAAGGGTCTGGGACGCTACTTGGTAAGGGTCCGTGGTAAGGGTCTGGGACGCTACTTGGCAAGGGTCCGTGGTAAGGGTCTGGGACGCTACTTGGTAAGGGTCTGGGACGCTACTTGGTAAGGGTACGGGACGCTACTTGGTAAGGGTCTGGGACGCTACTTGGTAAGGGTCTGGGACGCTACTTGGTAAGGGTCTGGGACGCTACTTGGTAAGGGTCTGGGACGCTACTTGGTAAGGGTCTGGGACGCTACTTGGCAAGGGTCTGGGACGCTACTTGGTAAGGGTACGGGACGCTACTTGGTAAGGGTCTGGGACGCTACTTGGTAAGGGTCTGGGACGCTACTTGGTAAGGGTACGGGACGCTACTTGGTAAGGGGTCTGGGACGCTACTTGGTAAGGGTCTGGGACGCTACTTGGTAAGGGTACGGGACGCTACTTGGTAAGGGGTCTGGGACGCTACTTGGTAAGGGTCCGTGGTAAGGGTCTGGGACGCTACTTGGTAAGGGTCTGGGACGCTACTTGGCAAGGGTCTGGGACGCTACTTGGTAAGGGTACGGGACACTACTTGGTAAGGGTTTGGGACGCTACTTGATAAGGGTTTCGGACGCTACTTGGCAAGGGTCTGGGACGCTACTTGGTAAGGGTCTGGGACGCTACTTGGTAAGGGTCTGGGACGCTACTTGGTAAGGGTCTGGGACGCTACTTGGTAAGGGTCTGGGACGCTACTTGGTAAGGGTACGGGACGCTACTTGGCAAGGGTCTGGGACGCTACTTGGTAAGGGTACGGGACGCTACTTGGCAAGGGTCTGGGACGCTACTTGGTAAGGGTACGGGACGCTACTTGGTAAGGGTTTGGGACGCTACTTGGTAAGGGTCTGGGACGCTACTTGGTAAGGGTCCGTGGCAAGAGTCTGGGACGCTACTTGGCAAGGGTCTGGGACGCTACTTGGCAAGGGTCCGTGGTAAGGGGTCTGGGACGCTACTTGGTAAGGGTCCGGGACGCTACTTGGTAAGGGTCTGGGACGCTACTTGGTAAGGGTCCGTGGTAAGGGTCTGGGACGTTACTTGGTAAGGGTTTGGGACGCTACTTGGTAAGGGTCCGTGGTAAGGGTCTGGAACGCTACTTGGTAAGGGTTTGGGACGCTACATAAGGGTCTTTGACGCTACTTGGTAAGGGTCTGTGACGCTACTTGGTAAGGGTCTGTGACGCTACTTGGCAAGGGTTTGGGACGCTACTTGGTAAGGGTCTGGGACGCTACTTGGTAAGGGTCCGTGGTAAGGGATCTGGGACGCTACTTGGTAAGGGTTTGGGACGCTACTTGGTAAGGGTCCGTGGTATGGGGTCTGGGACGCTACTTGGGAAGGGTACGGGACGCTGCTTGGTAAGGGACTGGGACGCTACTTGATAAGGGTCTGGGACGCTACTTGGTAAGGGTCCGTGGTAAGGGTGTGGGACGCTACTTGGTAAGGGTCTGGGACGCTACTTGGTAAGGGTACGGGACGCTACTTGGTAAGGGTACGGGACGCTACTTGGTAAGGGTACGGGACGCTACTTGGTAAGGGTCCGTGGTAAGGGGTCTGGGACGCTACTTGGTAAGGGTCTGGGACGCTACCTGGTAAGGGTCTGGGACGCTACTTGATAAGGGTTTGGGTCGCTACTTGGTAAGGGTTTGGGACGCTACATAAGGGTCTGGGACGCTACTTGGTAAGGGTCTAGGACGCTACTTGGTAAGGGTCTGGGACGCTACTTGGTTAGGGTCTGGGACGCTACTTGGTAAGGGTCTGGGACGCTACTTGGTAAGGGTCTGGGACGCTACTTGGTAAGGGTCTGGGACGCTGCTTGGTAAGGGTCTGGGACGCTACTTGGTAAGGGTTTGGGACGCTACTTGGTAAGGGTTTGGGACGCTACTTGGTAAGGGTCTGGGACGCTACTTGGTAAGGGTCTGGGACGCTGCTTGGTAAGGGTCTGGGACGCTGCTTGGTAAGGGTCTGGGACGCTACATGGTAAGGGTCTGGGACGCTACTTGGTAAGGGTCTGGGACGCTACTTGGTAAGGGTCTGGGACGCTACTTGGTAAGGGTACGGGACGCTACTTGGTAAGGTTACGGGACGCTACTTGGTAAGGGTCCGTGGTAAGGGTCTGGGACGCTACTTGGTAAGGGTCCGTGGTAAGGGGTCTGGGACGCTACCTGGTAAGGGTCTGGGACGCTACTTGATAAGGGTTTGGGTCGCTACTTGGTAAGGGTTTGGGACGCTACATAAGGGTCTGGGACGCTACTTGGTAAGGGTCTAGGACGCTACTTGGTAAGGGTCTGGGACGCTACTTGGTTAGGGTCTGGGACGCTACTTGGTAAGGGTCCGTGGTAAGGGGTCTGGGACGCTACTTGGTAAGGGTCTGGGACGCTACTTGGTAAGGGTCTGGGACGCTACTTGGTAAGGGTCTGGGACGCTGCTTGGTAAGGGTCTGGGACGCTACTTGGTAAGGGTCTGGGACGCTACTTGGTAAGGGTACGGGACGCTACTTGGTAAGGGTCCGTGGTAAGGGTCTGGGACGCTACTTGGTAAGGGTACGGGACGCTACTTGGTAAGGGTACGGGACGCTACTTGATAAGGGTTTGGGACGCTACTTGGTAAGGGTTTGGGACGCTACATAAGGGTCTGGGACGCTACTTGATTAGGGTCTGGGACGCTACTTGATTAGGGTCTGGGACGCTACTTGATTAGGGTCTGGGACGCTACTTGGTAAGGGTACGGGACGCTACTGGGTAAGGGTACGGGACGCTACTTGGTAAGGGTTTGGGACGCTACTTGATAAGGGTCTGGGACGCTACTTGGTAAGGGTCTGGGACGCTACTTGGTAAGGGTCTGGGACGCTACTTGGTAAGGGTACGGGACGCTACTTGGTAAGGGTCCGTGGTAAGGGTCTGGGACGCTACTTGGTAAGGGTACGGGACGCTACTTGGTAAGGGTCTGGGACGCTACTTGGTAAGGGTCCGTGGTAAGGGTCTGGGACGCTACTTGGTAAGGGTCTGGGACGCTACTTGGTAAGGGTTTGGGACGCTACTTGGTAAGGGTTTGGGACGCTACTTGGTAAGGGTCTGGGACGCTACTTGGTAAGGGTCTGGGACGCTACTTGGTAAGGGTCTGGGACGCTACTTGGTAAGGGTCTGGGACGCTACTGGGTAAGGGTCTGGGACGCTACTTGGTAAGGGTACGGGACGCTACTTGGTAAGGGTCCGTGGTAAGGGTCTGGGACGCTACTTGGTAAGGGTCCGTGGTAAGGGTCTGGGACGCTACTTGGCAAGGGTCCGTGGTAAGGGTCTGGGACGCTACTTGGTAAGGGTCTGGGACGCTACTTGGTAAGGGTCTGGGACGCTACTTGGTAAGGGTCTGGGACGCTACTTGGTAAGGGTCTGGGACGCTACTTGGTAAGGGTCTGGGACGCTACTTGGTAAGGGTCTGGGACGCTACTTGGCAAGGGTCTGGGACGCTACTTGGTAAGGGTACGGGACGCTACTTGGTAAGGGTCTGGGACGCTACTTGGTAAGGGTCTGGGACGCTACTTGGTACGGGACGCTACTTGGTAAGGGGTCTGGGACGCTACTTGGTAAGGGTCTGGGACGCTACTTGGTAAGGGTACGGGACGCTACTTGGTAAGGGGTCTGGGACGCTACTTGGTAAGGGTCCGTGGTAAGGGTCTGGGACGCTACTTGGTAAGGGTCTGGGACGCTACTTGGCAAGGGTCTGGGACGCTACTTGGTAAGGGTACGGGACACTACTTGGTAAGGGTTTGGGACGCTACTTGATAAGGGTTTCGGACGCTACTTGGCAAGGGTCTGGGACGCTACTTGGTAAGGGTCTGGGACGCTACTTGGTAAGGGTCTGGGACGCTACTTGGTAAGGGTCTGGGACGCTACTTGGTAAGGGTCTGGGACGCTACTTGGTAAGGGTCTGGGACGCTACTTGGCAAGGTTCCGGGACGCTTCATGGTAAGGGTCCGTGGTAAGGGTCTAGGACGCTACTTGGTAAGGGTCTGGGACGCTACATGGTAAGGGTCCGTGGTAAGGGGTCTGGGACGCTACTTGGTAAGGTTCCGGGACGCTTCATGGTAAGGGTCCGTGGTAAGGGTCTAGGACGCTACTTGGTAAGGGTCTGGGACGCTACATGGTAAGGGTCCGTGGTAAGGGGTCTAGGACGCTACTTGGTAAGGATTTGGGACGCTACATAAGGGTCTGGGACGGTACTTGGTAAGGGTCCGTGGTAAGGGGTCTGGGACGCTACTTGGTAAGGGTCCGGGACGCTACTTGGTAAGGGTCTGGGACGCTACTTGGTAAGGGTCTGGGACGCTACTTGGTAAGGGTACGTGGTAAGGGTCTGGGACGTACTTGGTAAGGGTCTGGGACGCTACTTGGTAAGGGTACGTGGTAAGGGTCTGGGACGCTACTTGGTAAGGGTCTGGGACGCTACTTGGTAAGGGTACGTGGTAAGGGTCTGTGACGCTACTTGGTAAGGGTACGTGGTAAGGGTCTGGGACGCTACTTGGTAAGGGTACGTGGTAAGGGTCTGGGACGCTACTTGGTAAGGGTACGTGGTAAGGGTCTGGGACGCTACTTGGTAAGGGTACGTGGTAAGGGTCTGTGACGCTACTTGGTAAGGGTACGTGGTAAGGGTCTGGGACGCTACTTGGTAAGGGTACGTGGTAAGGGTCTGGGACGCTACTTGGTAAGGGTACGTGGTAAGGGTCTGGGACGCTACTTGGTAAGGGTACGTGGTAAGGGTCTGGGACGCTACTTGGTAAGGGTCCGTGGTAAGGGTCTGGGACGCTACTTGGTAAGGGTACGTGGTAAGGGTCTGGGACGCTACTTGGTAAGGGTCCGTGGTAAGGGTCTGGGACGCTACTTGGTAAGGGTACGTGGTAAGGGCCTGGGACGCTACTTGGTAAGGGTCCGGGACGCTACTTGGTAAGGGTCCGGGACGCTACTTGGTAAGGGTCCGGGACGCTACTTGGTAAGGGTCCGGGACGCTACTTGGTAAGGGTCCGGGACGCTACTTGGTAAGGGGTCTGGGACGCTACTTGGTAAGGGTCTGGGACGCTACTTGGTAAGGGTCCGGGACGCTACTTGGTAAGGGTCTGGGACCCTACTTGGTAAGGGTCCGGGACGCTACTTGGTAAGGGTCCGGGACGCTACTTGGTAAGGGTCCGGGACGCTACTTGGTAAGGGTCTGGGACGCTACTTGGTAAGGGTCTGGGACGCTACTTGGTAAGGGTCCGGGACGCTACTTGGTAAGGGTCCGGGACGCTACTTGGTAAGGGTTTGGGACGCTACTTGGTAAGGGTCTGGGACGCTACTTGGTAAGGGTACGTGGTAAGGGTCTGGGACGCTACTTGGTAAGGGTCCGGGACGGATTGAAGCAAAGTCAATTTCATCATATTTCTTGTTGGGTTATTTATCTCCAACATTCTTGTGACTTACTCTACATTATACAAATGTGAGGCCTGGAGGGTTGCCGCGTTTACCCGAATTTACCCGAGAGTCGCCAACACTAGTAGCCTAGACGAGGATAGGAAGCCAGCGGCTTGTCGAAATCCCCCCCCCCCCCTTCTTGGCTTGATAATCTTTTCTAGTTGGATTTTGAAATTGAACAGTCTTTTGGCATTTACGGCTTCGGCGAGTAGGCGGTTCCATGGATTTATAACCCTGTGAGTGAAAAAGCATCTCCTGTCCTCAGGCCTACATTGTGGCTTGTCTAGCTTGAAACGCTTGCTCCTTGTTTTTTTACCGTTACATTTGACCTTCAGATAAAATTTTCCTGATAAACATCCACCAAATTGTTTAGTGTTTTAAGTTTTGATGAGATCCTGGTATCATGCCTGGTTTGCAGTGTTAACCCTGTGGCCCTCGACCGTTCTTGGTGCGAGAGATAAAGAACTTATGAGTCCACATAACAATATAATCCTTGACATGTTCCGAAAGTGACTTAAACCCTTGACTGACTCCCCAGATAACCATTATATACAGCTACAATAACGGATCGAGAGCAGAGGAAGGGTCGCTGGGCTCCTGCAACGGGGACTACGTCTTCTCGGAGGTGGCGGAGTACGAGTACCTGGCAGCCATCACCGGAGGGGCCTTTATCGAGATCAACAAGTTCGACGTGGACGAAATTTTGGGGATTATGCAGGATGGCGTTGAGGAAAGTCAGGTGAGAAGCGAGGATGGAAGAGACAAAGTTCATGGTAAAATAGAGAGAGAGCGAGGGAGGGAGGTAAAATACGGGGAGAGACAGACAGACAGAGAAGTGTATCAAGCAAGATGAGTAGAGAGAGAAGATATGTCAAGACAGATGCGTTGAGAGATGCAAAGATAGATTTTCAATGACAGATAGAAATACAGAAATGTACAAGTCTCCACAGATGAAGAAGAAATGTTAAGGTATTCAAATGTGGACATAAACTAGGATGGTGAATACAATCTGCTGGGAAGATTGTAGAGTAGTTATTACTAGGGGCGCATCCATTACCCATCACCAGGGTAATGGTTTACCCTGCATATGTATAAAAGTCTTGTATATATAAGTAACTTGTGTATATATAAAAAAAAAATACTGTAATACCCTTATTTTCTGGCGTGGACAGGCGAGTCTGAGCATGCGCAGCAGCGTACGGGGGCTGCAGGTGGTTCCCTTCCCTGTCGACGACTCCGTCAGTAACTTCACTGTCACAATCTCAGGCGACGTCACCGTTGCCGTGCTCTCACATACGTCTGGTGAGTGGGTGGTGTTCTATGTTCCGGAATAAATCAATATATAAATAAATAAATATTTGGTTCTCGTGTTTTCCTGGCGAACCTGCATTGATCGATGTTATATTCAGCAGGTTGGCAGAGTGGTTATCGTTCTGTAATCCAAGGGCTCTATTCCTTGTTAGATTCCTAATGATGGAAAATGTTCTATTTTTTGAAGATAAAGTAAAGCTCCGGTGGCTTGCGGACCGGAGTATGGTCCCAGCCACCCGAAGAAATGATGCTACTGTATTTCAAGTTCATAAATTATTTGAAAGATGTTTCACACAGGAGTAACTTTTGACCTGACCAACGAGGAGGAGCTGGAGGCCACTACTGGGGTTCACGTGGTCTCTCACACAAACGAACTTAAATCCATTACGTTTTCCAACCAGTCCATCGGCCAGTGGACTCTGGAGGTAAGCCATTTTTAGGCGATGAGCTAAAATATGTATAGCTCCTATATAAGAAGCAATCTTAGTAAACACGCCAGTTATTGCCGCACTATGCCATAAGAGACTTGAGAAACTATATTATCATCTTCAGATTTGCCTTAGACGTTTACAGCATTGCTAAAGAAATAATAATTCTCCATCTCCTCCTAGGATTTATTTGCCATAATTTCAAAAGTTAAGTATGTTAAAGGTAATGAATAGTCTCGCCTCGACAGGCGGATGGAGGTACGACAGACTACAGCCTGGCAATCAGCGGTTCCTCGACACTCTCCTTCCTGTCAGAGTTCTGTGACCTGGTGACTGAACCGCCCAGGCCCACATACCGTCTGATCATGGGCCAGCCTATCACTGGTAGGTGTTCGGGTCCGCCTCGGGTTACTTGGTCATGAGAACACTGCTTCTTGTATAATGGTGTGCTCCTACATGTCAGAGGAATAAGGTTTGCAAAGAACCTGCGACCAACTGCTAGGTAGCCTATTATAGTGTCGTCGCTGCTAGGTAGTCTACTACAGCGTCACTGCTAGAAGGGCTACTATAGTGTTACTGCTAGGAAGCCTACTATAGTGCTGACCAAACCACACACTACAAGGTCAAGGGATCGACTTGACACAATCGACTTGAGATTGGTCCAGGGCTGACCGAAACGACGTCGTCCCTTCACCTTCTAGTGTGTGGTCTGGTCAACATACTTCAGTCACGTTATTGTGACTCATCGTCTGCATACTATAGTGTTACTGCTAGGAGGGCTACTATAGTGTCACTGGTATGAAGCTATAGTAGGCTACCCAACAGTGAAGCTAGTGCCAATTGAGCTAGCACTTGGTTTCAAAAATAGACTCCATAAATCTATAATTGACAATAATTGGACTGGCCCCGCAAAGGCCAATTTCACTGTTTTTGTTCTTTGTAACAATTCATGTTAAGTGGTATTTATTGATCTTTAAGACCAAATCAATACATTTCCTTGACATATTTCTTTTTTCTTTTTTGCCAATCATAACCTGATTTATGATGGAGTACAGTATATGGCATTACCTGACTCGCCTCCTTTCATGATGTGTGTACCTGTTGTGTTGTAGTCGAGGCGCTGTATTGACAGGCGTGGCATACTACATCGAGGTGTTGTATTGACAGGTGTGGCATACTACATCGAGGTGACGCTGGTGGGATACCTAGAGTCTCTGGTCAGCAGTGTCACATCCCTACAGCTCATAGATGAGGTATGCATGGCTCTTCTCCTTCTTCCTCTTAATTTTTGTTACGTTCCTGATATATAATGTATTCTTGCAGTCTGAATTATTATTTTAATTATCATTTATAACCTTCTTAATTTAAGATTTTTAACAGTAAACTTTCATTATTTCTATTTCTATTCAACACATTAGGTAATAATTCTCAATTTGCGTTTTCTCAAACAAAAAATAAAAGGGCATATCAGTAAACCTCCTGGCCCATGCGAGGCAGGAACCTACCCATCACCCCATTTTTAGACTTGCCAAGTTATTTACCTCAGTGATGATAACTGGCAGGGGTTTCACAGGTTACCGATGAAACCTGTGAAACAGACTACCACCGATGCAATATTTACAAATATAATCATTAAATGTATTTATTTAAGGAAAACTCCATGTGTTTATGCCTTTCATCCATTGGTATACCTCATTCATATCACCATAATGCCCTGCCCCACTCTGTATGCTCTGTTCCTCTTGATTCTGTATAATTAACAAATTAATAACTATGGGCTCAGCCCTGAGCATTTCATCTCCACCAACTTAAATGGGGGGGGCCCACATCCCCTTAAATCTTGCGTAGTACTCCAACACATTATATGACGTGATGCGCAGTTGACTGGAACAACGTCCAACACGTAATATGACGTGATGCGCACTTTAAGGGTTAAAGGGAAGAATTGGGGGGGCTAACTCCAACCCTCCTATGACAGTCTTACAACACCCATTTTCAACCTACGAAGTTTAATAAGATTAGGCCCAAGTGTCTATCCTCTAACCTTGGATAGACACAAATCTTCTTTATTAGATACTGTATTGATCTGAGTTGGTTTCCTCTAGGCTGGAGGATTGTTCTCGACAATGGAGTATGCCGAGGACGTGGATGAACATTTTTACATTCTCAGTGAAAAACTCCCGGCTGTGCCTTTCTTCGTCCAGGTGAATGGCTTCCTTCAAACTGGTATGTAGATTGAACTTTATTACAAATTAATACAAATATATAATACTGTATATAGTATGTGTAATATATATATAATATTGCTTTTAGCTTTCATTCAGAAATACTGTAAATTTCTGCATATAAAAGCTAGATATTTTAATCAATTATCAGTTATCTGATGAAGAAATCTTATAGCAGACAATATTACCTGATTTATCTGATTTTACCCGAGGGCTACAAACCCTAGTGGCCTAAATGAGGACGGGAAGTCGGCGACTTGTCGAAGTTCCCCTCATTTGCCTTGATCTTTTCCAGGTATATTTTGAAATTCGGCACAGTTTTGGCAGTTGCGACTTCGGCGAGTAGGCGATTACATATGTTAATAACCCTGTGGTTGAAAAACCATCTTCTGTTCTCAGTCCTACATTGTGGCTTGTTGGGCTTGAAACCATTGGTCCTTGTTTGTTACAAGAGACCTTCTGAAGAAAATTTTGGAACCCAACATCCTCGAACTTGTTCAGTATTTTTAAGTTTCAATGATATCTGCCCTGTCATGCCTGGTTTGCAGTGTTAGCTCTGTGCCCTTGAAGCAGTCCTGATATGAGATGATTTGGCTCTGGAATGACTTGCTGACTGGTGTTGTACCTTCTCCAGAGCAGCTGTCCTCCTGAAAATGAGAACTCCATGCTTGGATACAGTAATCTAAGTGGCGGCATACCAGAGATTTATACAGTTGAACCATTACCTTCTTTTCCTCAGTCAAATGTACTTGTATCCCAAAAGTTTGGTTAGCTTTTCTAACTGCTGCACCCACCTGTTGTGTAACTTTTAATGAGTGGTGGATCTTGACTTAAGGTCCCTTTCTTCATCAATCTGCTATAATGCTATTAATTTGGTAGTCCTGGCGTGGGTTATGTCCCACTTGCAAGGTCATACATTTGTCGATATTTAAAAGCATTTGCCAGTCTTCTGACCATTTGTAGAGTTTATGTAGATATCTTTGTAAGGCTTCAATATCATCATTTCCCACTTCACCATAAATCTGTGTCGTCTACAAATTTGATGATGTGGTTTGTAATATTCTCGCTTGTCAATGTTGTAAATGACAAAAAGGGTAGGTCACAAAAATGGATCCTTGTGGCACCCTACGTATGACATTTTCCATTCTGATTCACACAATCTTAACAATCGTAATCATAACAAAACCCATATACTGTACAGTATAATCATAACAAACCTGATAATGAAATTCATTTATTGTTAAGAATGAAGTTAATGTGAACAAGGAGCTTGTTATTTTGTTTACAATTTGAGTATATATAGAGACATTTAAACTACTTTTAAAATGACAGTAGCGTTCATACCTTTTTGTTTTTAAACTTTGAACAGAAAAGGTAATTATTAACCATTATATTTCTATACTGCTGTATTTGGAGTGTTGTATGATTTCTTAGGACACGAAAATAGGTAAAAAAAATTGCCGTGTAACTTATTCCTGGCAATAATTACCTCTATTTATAACTTAAGTTTTAAGTTCCTATTTTAGCACATTCTTATTCCATAATCACATGAATCATAAGCAATGAAAAATACCACCTTTTCAATTTTCAAACTTAAATTTTACACAAACACCTTGAACTGTGATATTATGTCACTCATTGCTCCACACACACACACACTCTACTCACTGAAAGTCATAACCTATCCTTCATCTTTATTACCTCATTGCTGCTCTTATAATCCTTGTTCCATTTTACTTGGCATCCTCACTTCCTTTCTTTTATCTCTCATAGGTGAAATACATTGAGCTTCATTACAAATGTTCACCACCTTCAGCTTCTCAGATTCCTCTTTTTATTCTTCTAACTTTCCAGCCATATGAGCCTATCTTTTTCTGAGGCCTGGGCAGGTGCGGGTTTCTACTTCCAAGGTCAAATTTTATTTTCATTGCCGAGGAAATTTTGGAAAAAGTGTCCCAATCCCAATTGGCATTAGATTATGTTGATATTAAAGAGATAATAATGTTTGGTTTTGTAGCAAATTAAAATTTGTAAGGCAGTTATAGACAAGGTATAGAGAGTATTGTACAGCATTTCATATTTAACTTTACTGATGAAAAGATGTTAATTTTATGAAAAAAGGCAGAACAAATTAAATGTGCTGGGATAGTCGACCATATGCTTTACCATAAAAGGAATTAAATAATCAGCCAGACTTAATATTCCGTATTTGCCAAGAAAAAAGTAAGTCTCCTTAGTACGAAGTCAGCAGGCTGCATTTTGCACTGCGAGAGTAGTGCCAACTGCTGTGATCACCTTGTTGTGAACATTCTTGCTTTGAACATGTACAATACTTGAAGCACTCACAAACAGGAGGAAACCTAATCATTTAATGACGGTCTGAGGAAGGGAGCGAGTTACTGTGGTGTTGAAACATTCTTCATACACCTTCATGAGATCTACTTCACACACCGAGTACAACTTTAGTGTACTCTGCTCTTCCAACTTGGAAATTATGATTAACCTGTTTTTGTAAAAGTCTGTATTAAACTAACACTGTTTTAATTAATAAGGAGATTTTTGCTTATGACTCCATAATATTGTTGAAAAGCTGTTATATTTTGTCAAACTCTACTTCACTATTATTTACTATTTTTGTATTATCCAGGCACAGGGGAGCTGTTCTGCAGCTGGAATTCTTCTAACCAAGTCATTCTTTTTTGTATATTTTCATATTTCCATTCTTTACTTTATTAAGATTTTAATAATCTGATACATGTGACATTTTTTGTCTTCATTTCAACATGAAGTAATGCATGTAAACTTAACTGAAAGAAACCCACAATGTCTGAGCTGACTGTAATGCCATAAACTAACACATGCTTATGTATGGTGGCTCCTTGAACAGGTACACCCTTCAGTCGGATCTCCCCATCAATGATACTGGCAGTGAATTGTGCTGTGGAGCTTCTGTTGGAAACATCAGAGATGTCTGCCCGTGCTGGGGAGCAAGCCACAGCCTATTTCTCGGTTAAAAACTTTGGTCCTGAAGCCACCTTTAACTACTTTGCTACTGATGAGTTGCAATACGTTTCAAGTTGGAGCCCAGTGAAGTGAGTATTGTAAACCTCTAAATAATATTTTGGTTTGCCTGGAACCCTTATTAAACTTAAAAGATGTATGTATCAGATGCCTTGGCAACTCTTGACTTATGACAGTTCTTTTTATCATAGTTTCTTTAGTATGACTCATTATTTACTTCCCTTGCAGGTCAACTATACCCTCTATGGGGTCTGACACCATCACAGTACTGTTCGATGTGCCTTCATCTGCCATCGCAGGCACAGTGAGCACAGTTACTGTAACTGCCAGCTCAGAACTGCAAGAAAATGTCAACACTGCCATAGCCTACTTCCTTGTTCTCCCTGATGTATGTACTGGTATTGTATATGTATTAAGAACAGTGTTTGGTTAAATGTGGTTAAATGTACCTGCATGTGTGTGCACAGTGGTCATGTGCCCCCCCCCCCCTCCCTCTGTATTTGTTTTGAAATAAGCCTGCATGTTCTCGGTGTGTGCGCGCATTAGTTTTTATCAAGGGAGCGTTAATGTGTAAATCTCATTCGTTGTATTTTGGTATGTAGGTTTTACTTTTTCATTCTGTAGCTGTTTACCATAACTGTTGCATAAATAGAATCTGCAATTATTTTATTAGGTAACATTGAAGTCTCTTAATTTTTTTTTCATTCCATGCTTTCCTATGCAAGTTCTTTTTGAAGATGTTAAGATTTTTTAAAAAGTTTAGCTTTAGAAGATCCAGGTCATGAATAAATTAGCATGAGCATTTGGCTTGAGTGAGTGGGCTCATGCTTATCTCAGACTTTTATTATTAAAATACTGTAAGAGAACAATTACTGTGAAAGAGTATTTCACAGTAATACTGTACACTTTCTTAATAATAATAAGGGGTACATCTATAATGTATATCTGTCATTTGACTACCACTCTTCTGTGGTGTCAGTGATTGAATTACAACAAGGTCTGTGGTCTTCTGGCCAGACGATAGATGTACTAAGGTTGTCCCATTCTAAGTTGTCTCAAGTCTAGGGATTTGAGACAATTTCCATTTGTCCCATTCTAAGGTTCTCAGATCTAAGGATTTGCAATGTGTTCCCGTAATGTGGTTCATCCACTTGGATTCGTCAGTACAAGAGGCCTTGGTTCTTGCAGGTCTGCGTTCAATCCCTGATGGGCCCAAGTGGTTGGGCACTGTTACTTCCCTACATTCTATCCCAGTTCCTTGTCCTCGTGCCTTCCAAGTGCTATTAGTCATACTAGCATAGTGCTTTTTCCTAATAATTACCATACTTATTGTACAGCAGTGGAGCCCAATGTCTTACGGTTTGACTCTTCCCATTTGATAGTCATGCCGAGATATGTGAACCTAACTCAATAGTTAAACACCGGATGTATTGTTTATACCTTACAAGATATACGGTATTATTAATCAGTATATTAAGAGGAACCTGTCTTGTTTGTATGGAAATCCATTAACCATTACCATTAAAAATACCATTAACTTGCTGAAGTATTATACATTTACTGTACAGTATTATCCAGTCTGACTTAACTATTGTGTGCAGCACCTTGACAGTGAAGCGCCAACGTGTATCAGCAACAGTGAGCCATCCTGCGCCGACTACAGCACCCCCGGCTCCTGCAGCGATGGCTCTTGGAGCGTTACAGGCATCATGCAGGACACCATATCAGGTCGGTCATAAGTCGGTCATAATCATTTGCACGGAAATCCGGCTATTTGCCATACCACTTTGGACATCCGGCATGATATATTAGGATTTGCACATAATGCATCCAAAAGTGGTAGTGGCCTGACCATTTGCATGATCACACTATTCTTGGCTATCCTTACACAATCTAGCGTCACAGAAATCCCATTATCGTGATACTGTATGTCGATGAGAAAATCCACAGGAGCCATGATGAGGATTCTAACCTATGCTCTGGGTGTTCCCAGATACACTGTAGTCGACTACACCATGACATAGTCAAAAGAATTGCAACCTGGGATGCTTTTGCACCCTCGAGGATTCTAGGAACACCCAGTGCATAGGTTCGAATCCTCATCACGGCTCCTGTGGATTTTCACATAATCTAGCATGTCGTACAAATTTTATCAGTCGCCGACTATTGATAGTAGAATTGTGTAGATAACTATCCTGATCAGCACTGCTGTGTGTGCAAGTTATGGAGTTGTTATTCAGTGACTGCTGTTGGAAAAAGTTTCCAAGCAACATTATATACAGTACAGTATTATATTTCACACAATATGGATCTTAATTAATTAATAACCGTTATTCCTGTGCCAACAGTGCACTATAACTAGTTAAAGAGCTTGACCCTATGACAAAATTTTGAGATCTAATCTCGGCTAGCAACTATTTTTGGATATGCTTCTCATCTTGCTGCATTGAATGTACAAACATTATGACAAATTTAGTTGGATCATAAAATGTCAATATTCCATTTTTATATCAGAATGCATGTTAGAAAACAGACCAACTTAATTTTGGCATATTTAATTGTAAAATGCAACCGATGTTGCATTTTATGCTTCAGAAATTTGTTGCACTCGATCACGTGCAGCTTTAGTATGTGTTTGTTTTATTTCCAACAGGTCTAAGCATTATCTACTCTCGACCAGAGAATTATTTAACAGTAGATGACTTCTCCGTGGGGACAACTCTGCCTATCGCTGTCAATTTTAGTTCCTCTTGCTGTACCAGGGATGTGCAGATCATCGGGCGAGACCAGCAGGGCAACATCGGCGTATGTCACTGGAATCTGGGAGCACTCCATGGTAAGATATTATATCATTTAAGGCACTGCCAACCTCATACTAAGAAAAGTCTTAAGGTAGTCTGTCTTAGCTGATACATCCCTCCAGGGTGGAAAGTTAGGAGACTAATGCCCAGTACCTTGAGTAGTTGTTGTAATACTTAACTACTTTATCTTTTTAAAGTTAAGGTTGGGTTTGCCAAAGGAATAATTTACTGTACAGTATCTGCTAATTTTTGTTAACTAGTTTCTGTAGTTTATAATTTAGACCATGCTCATTATGTGAGCAGTAGAGAAAATGTATGATGCACATTATGGGTTCAGGAATTTTATGGAAGTATTCTTCCACTAGCTTACTAAAGGGGCTTATTAGTGAGGTCTATGGTTTGACCAACTGGGTCAAGTGGTTACAACCACTTGACCCAGTTGGCCAAACAAAAGAACACTTTTTGACATCACTTACACCTTTACCAACACACTAAGGGACTGAAGAGAAGTAATTTAGATTATTCATTTTAACTGAGCATTTAACAACTTCAACTGCAACAACTACAGTTGTTGCAGCTATCACTACATTAATGCTCCTGCTGTTGCTACCCTCAACATTAATGCTCCTGCTGTTGCTACCCTCAACATTAATGCTCCTGCTGTTGCTACCCTCAACATTAATGCTCCTGCTGTTGCTACCCTCAACATTAATGTACATATTTCACCAGGATCTGTGATAGAGTTCGTGGCAGAGTCTGTGGGCTATACTTGGGTTTATCTCAGATGGAACATGAGCGACGTTCCTAAAGATCTCTCGAAGTACATCATCAATATTAATGACGACTTTGTTGAGGAGGTATGTATATATTATATATTGTACTAGGCATACATACACGTGTGTGTGTGTGTGTGTGTGTGTGTGTGTGTGTGTAATTACCCAAGTGTAGTTACAGGATGAGAGCTACGCTCGTGGTGTCCCGTCTTCCCAACACTGTCATATAACACTTTGAAGCTACTGACGGTTTTGGCCTCCCACCTTTTCACTTAACTTGTTCCAACTGTCTACCACTCTGTTTGCGAAAGTGAATTTTCTTGTACTGTATTTCTTCGGCATCTTTGTTTAGTTAGTTTCAATCTATGACCTCTTGTTCTTGAAGTTCCAGGTCTCGGGAAATCTTCTCTATCGATTTTATCAATTCCTGTTACTATTTTGTACGTAGTCATCATATCGCCTCTTTTTCTTCCGTCTTCTAGTTTTGGCATATTTAATGCCTCTAACCTCTCCTCATAGTGCTTGCCCTTCAGTTCTGGGAGCCAATTAATAGCATGTGGTTTTAAAGATTCTAGCTACAAATTCATGGGCTCGACCTGGAGATGCTGAAGACCCCAGAGGACGCTCCCATTGGCAGGTCATGACTCTTCCTGTGTTCTGTGATCATGACTGTTCCTCTGTGTGTGTTTATACATAAACACACACAGACACACACACCTGTGTGTGTGTGTGTATATATATATATATATATCTGCGAACAAGCCTGAATGGTCCCCAGGACAATATGCAACTGAAAACTCACACCCCAGAAGTGACTCGAACCCATACTCCCAGAAGCAACGCAACTGGTATGTACAAGACGCCTTAATCCACTTGACCATCACGACCGGACATAATGAGGTGATAGCCGAGGCTATTTGAACCACCCCACCGCCGGCACTCGGATAGTTATCTTGGGCATAGCATTTTACCAAATCACCTCATTCTTTGGGGCACACGTGAGGAACACAAATGCGAACAAGCCTGAATGGTCCCTCTCATTATGTCCGGTCGTGATGGTCAAGTGGATTAAGGCGTCTTGTACATACCAGTTGCGTTGCTTCTGGGAGTATGGGTTCGAGTCACTTCTGGGGTGTGAGTTTTCAGTTGCATATTGTCCTGGGGACCATTCAGGCTTGTTCGCATTTGTGTTCCTCACGTGTGCCCCAAAGAATGAGGTGATTTGGTAAAATGCTATGCCCAAGATAACTATCCGAGTGCCGGCGGTGGGGTGGTTCAAATAGCCTCGGCTATCACCTCATTATGTCCGGTCGTGATGGTCAAGTGGATTAAGGCGTCTTGTACATACCAGTTGCGTTGCTTCTGGGAGTATGGGTTCGAGTCACTTCTGGGGTGTGAGTTTTCAGTTGCATATTGTCCTGGGGACCATTCAGGCTTGTTCGCATTTGTGTTCCTCACGTGTGCCCCAAAGAATGAGGTGATTTGGTAAAATGCTATGCCCAAGATAACTATCCGAGTGCCGGCGGTGGGGTGGTTCAAATAGCCTCGGCTATCACCTCATTATGTCCGGTCGTGATGGTCAAGTGGATTAAGGCATCTTGTACATACCAGTTGCGTTGCTTCTGGGAGTATGGGTTCGAGTCACTTCTGGGGTGTGAGTTTTCAGTTATATATATATCTATATAGACATACATATCTGTGTGTATATACAGTATATACTGGTATATATAATTATATAATTTATGGTAAATATTTATTAGGAATAATTAAATTGTTTAGTAATCATGGTAATGGAACTTCATCAGTCGCGATGTAAGGAGCTGGTGTGTTGGAAGAATGTAACCTACCTGAATCCATGCATGCTGCAAACATTCTCCTTAACACCATATTACTTGCTAGACTCTCTAGTCGAGGGCGCCGTTCTCAACACAGAGGCAACCACACTCGGAGATGGTCAGTACTAGCACACATTCTTGATGTGAAATTAATTTTGTCATTAAATATCTCCTTAAAAAGATATTATTTGTGCAACTTAGCATTCTGATAACAGGTTATCTGTTCACCTGCTCCAAGTATATGTACTGGTGTATGTAAAGTGCTAGACAACCTCTGTTATTTTCACATTTTAGTGTTGTTGAACTGATAATTTCCAATTTAGTTTCTCTTGTTAAAACTCCACATTAATTGTATATTAACAGTAGAATCCCAGTGTTCATGTACTAAGCTTTTGTTACAGATTCATTATGGTAAACATTATTATGTATTAATCAGCATAAGATTAGTCATGAAAACATTTGCAGCTTAATACTAAGACTTTGGCTGGGCAATATCCAGTTTTAATGTTAGAGATTTTAATGTAAAACAATATATCTTGTATTTATACAGGACATTGTAATGAAAAAAAACTAATGAAGGTTCACTATCGTCTAATATGTGCATCGGGTTTTTATCTAGGAAAATGCAGCGTTGAATGTCATGAAATGCCAGTTTCTGGGTAAGCCCTGGAGGCTCCCTGAGGTTATTAGAACTGATATAGTGCTATATTACTTGGTCATCAGTCAGTCCTTAAGTTTACCATAGACCACGAACCAGAAGTGCTCATAGGCCATTGCTCCCTGTGCCCCTCTTAGGGGGGGGGGGGGCAGGTTCTGGCTTGTGGTCTCTGGTAGGCTTAAGAACTCAAGTGACTGATGACCCCAACTAATATAGCACTATATCAGTTCGGATAGCTTCAGGGAGCAGACGGGGCTTTCCACAAATAGTCTTTGAGTTGGCATTTCTTGTGCAAGCTCATGAGCACATATATAATGAAATCACATTGTGATGTCAAATGCACAATGAAAATACGAGAAGCATTGGAGGAGAACTACTGGACCATTAGCCAGAGTGCCTAGGGGCAATGCTTAACACCCTAATTGGGCTTTAGTTGTAACCTCAGGAATTCTAGAGGATTCGGTGGAATCCCAGGTTGTATAGCTTTTATCTTGTCGTGGCATGGTGGTTTAGGACGCTAGCTTGGGAGTACCAAGTGAGCGGCTTTGTATCTTCCGCATGACTCCTACTGAATTTCTGCTCCTGAACAGTTCCTGGAGCCCCCACCGACCCCAAAACTGAATATATTTCCACTACCTCTACCACCATCACATGGAGTGAACCTGTCAATAAGAACTGCTTTCAGCATTATGAGGCAAGTACCTTACTTGTGGCTTTACTTCTTTCAAGCATCTCTCCTCCTTATTTATGTCTAGAACCATGAGAATTTTGTCTTCATACAACGTATTAAATGGCAACAAATTAATGTGTGAATTTGGCCGATTTGTTACAGGGAGTTTAAATATTTGCAATAAATTTTTTCTCAGCCTGTGTTTGCTTATAAATATTCTCAAATACTGTATCATAAATTTCTATAATAAAAACAAAAATAATCACAAGAATATTGAAAGATGTAATAATTTGTTATTTTTTATTTTGATACAGTACATAAAACTTAATAGTAATATCATTGTATCAGTAGTTAGATTGAGAAACTTGATTTTGTTATAAAATGACATGTCTAGAGGAAAGTGTAATGCTACTTAGTCATTGTCATGTGTAGAAACCTACATGAAAATTATTCTTTTATGATGAGAAATAATGAAGACTAGTTGACAAATGCAATGGTTCTCAAAAGCCAGTGACAATGTTTTATAGATTGCTTGTAAGGATTTGTGGTTCACAATGATGTGTATTGCAGATTTGCTTCACTATGATTGGGGCAACAGAAGATCATTGCGTGATTTCCACCATAAACAGCTACACCATGGAAAGTCTGGAGGCCTGTACTGTCTACCACGTCACTATAACCTCTGTATCTCTCTTAGGACTCCCCAGTGACCCGCTTACCTTCGACACCAACACGGATGATGCTGGTATGATTGATGTGTATTAAGGGGAATTATATTGTTAAGTTTGTTCATCTTGCTCTGATATCCCATATGACTAAGAGGATGACTAAACAATGTTTAATAAAATGTTGATATAACCATAATAATTAGTAATTTAGATTATAGTCACTTTAATACAGCAATATTTCAGTAACAACCAATTTATTATAGGTAACTTAATTTTTACATTGAAAAATACCTGTTCAGATGCTGAAGTGCATTATATTCTTAATTTTGTAAGAGAGACAAAGGAATTGGTGAATAACCTATTTAATGTGTTCTGATTTACAATTTTTCTGATCTTGGAACTTTACTGTATGGCTCATTATATATACAGTATATATAATGTAAATACTGTACAGGGAAATAAAAAGCTTTCAAGTTGGTACCTGCATGTAGTAGGAAGATAAGATATATATGATGTATGTCGACGTATATGATGTCGAGACCGGTTGATGGCATTTGTGATGCGTGTGTGTGGTGTCTCCCTACAGCACCCGGAGCTCCGGAGAATTTACACGTCAACAACCAAACGACCAGCTGGGTTGAACTGGCATGGGACAACCCTCTGGACAGAGCAAACTGTGTCAAAGAGTAAGTATTATCAGTAAGCAGTAAACCAGACTGGATATAAAGCATTGTCTGTTATAAAAATATTAAAGTGGTTAAAGAGATCATTTAGGATGCAATATAGCTGTACAGTACAGTATTAAAAAGTTGATTATAGGTCTGCTGTAGTGACTAGTTGGTGATTTTTAATTGCAATCATGAAGTTATATGATGTCGTCTACACTGGCTACTTGGTGTTATTAATGTCGGCTTGTGTTTTCTAGTTATTAGGGGAAGGGTGAAATAAATCATTAACTTAAAATATTTGTTTTTGTAAAATCAGATACCTGTATTTATCTTTATAGTGGTATTGTGTATTGTTGACTGTACAGTATTGAATAGTTAGAAATATTTTTGTAACTTTGATCAAGTAGCAAGGCTAGTAAAATGTTTAATTTAGATTTTAGAAACCGTTTAATACAAACTTGGCACCAGTTTCTCTGCTAGTTGGGAGTCAAGTGCTACTGTTCCTTACCACTTCACAACTAATTATTCATGTTTGTAATCAGTGGCTGCCCTGTAAAAATAAATGCCATTAGTTAATGCAGCTGGAGCATTTTAAGTGTTGAGATTATTAAGGAAGAGATACACTTGATTATGACTACCAAATAGTCATTAACTGGTGGTCAATATTAATGGTAGAAAGTCCCAATTAAATATCTGTATATATATCTAATACTGCATTCTTTTCCACTAATCAAATATGACACTGTACTGTAATGTAGATTGTTAATCAGAGTAGTGCTATCTTAATTTTCTTATTTACCCGATTTACTTGAAGGCCACTAACCCTAGTGGCCTCAACGATAACAGAAAGCCGGCAGAATGTCGAAGGTCCCTCCATTTGCTTTGACGATCTTTTCCAGGTATATTTTGAAACTCGGCACAGTTTTGGCAGGTAGGCAGTTCCATGGGTAATAACCCTGTGCGTGAAAAAAGCATCTCCTTTTCTCAGTCCTACGTTGTGGCTTGTTGAGCTTGAAACCATTGCTCCTTGTTTGTGTTAAATCTGACCTTCTGAAGAAAATAATCAGATCCACATCCTCTAGCTTGTTCAGTATTTTAAGTTTCAATGATATCTGTCCTGTCATGCCTGGCTTGCAGTGTTGGCCCTGTGACCTTCAAGCATTCCTGATATGAGAGATGACTTTGCTCTTGAATGACTTTTGTTGCCTGGTGGTGTACCTTCTCCAGAGCAGCTATGTCCTTCTGAAAGAGATCTCCATGCTTGGATATAGTAATACAAGTGGGGGCACACCAGAGATTTATACAGTTGAACTATTACCTTCTTTTCCTCATAGTCAAAAGTATGCTTGATTATCCCAAAAGTTTGGTTATCTTTTCTGACTGCTGCACCCACTTGTTCAACTTTTGAGTGGTGGATCTTGACTCCAAGGTTCTTTTCTTCATAAACCTGCTGTAATGTAATGCTATTAATTTGGTAGTCATGACCTGGGTTGTTGTGCCCCACATACAGGGTTTTGCATTTGTCAATATTAAAAAGCATTTGCCAGTCTTCTGACCATTTGTGAAGTTCACGTAGATCTCTTTGTAAGGCTCCAATATCATTATCATTTCCCACTTTACCATAAATCTTTGTAATCTGCAAATTTGATGTGGTTTATAATATCCTCAGCGATGTCATTGATGTACAGTATATGACAAAAAGGGTATGCCCCCAAAAGGAATCTGTGGCACCCCACTTATCACATTTTTCCATTCACATTAGTTTCCATTTAGCATGACCCTTTGTTTTCTTTCCTTCAACCAGTGTTTTATCCATTCTAATTTTTACCATTTTATTTCATGGTCCTGTAATTTCCTTGCCAGTATTTCATATGGTACCTATCAAAAGCTTTAGCAAAATCCATGTATACTACATCCACTGGAAGGCCTTTGAGTAGCAGGTTACCATTTCCAAAAATGTGGGAGTTTTTAAGGCAGGATCTGTTTTTAACAAACTCTTGTGTCGATTGTACAAGGTTGTTCGCTGAAAAATGGTAAATGATTATCTCCCTGAGGATTCTCTCCATGAGCTTGCAGATGTGTGATGTCAAGCTGATCAGACAGTGATCAGCCAGTAGTTTTCTGCTGAGCTCTTTCTGCCTTTTTTGAAAACTGGTGACATTTGCATATTTCCATTTGCAAATCTAGAGGGATTACCCCCTGGGTCCAGAGATTTTGTGAAAAGTAGTTTCAGCGATAGGCATAGTTCTTTTGCCAGTTCCTTTCCGACTTTGGCTTGGATTCCATCCACACCTGGGGCTTTTGAGTCTTTTAGTTTGTCAATGTTCTTTCTAATTATTTTGCATGTTATGGGTATATCCCTAAATTCATTCAAATCTCCTCCTTCAAACATCTGTGAGTGATGGGATGTCATCCAACCTTTCGAGTGTGGACACTGATGTAAAATAATCTCTTAGTGTTTACTGCCCTTTTATCATCCATTATAGCTTAATTAGTCTGAACTATTCAGGGTCCAGCTGAGTCCTTTGTTTTGGTTTTTCCTTTTAGGCAATTTCCATTTTGTCAATTCTTTTGGCTGATCTGATTCCTGAGTGGCCAAGTTTAGTGCCCTTTTGTATAACTCATAATCAATGAGTTGCCCCATTGCCTTCAGTCATGCCAGGTCTTGTCATTTATTCTTCTCATTCATTTTTTTTTACCTTATCTCGCCATATTATATTAGTCATGATAATCAATTATAAGAAAGTAATAGGTATGATTTTCTTGATACAGCTGGATAATCACATACACTACTGGGAGTAGCAAAATGTCGGTGAAACCCTTCATTACCGAGGCACCATCCGACAACTATGCTACCGTATCTGACTTGTTTGCTTGTACCAACTACACCTTCTGGGTGTCGGGGGTATCAGTCACAGGCTTGCAGGGCAGTACCAAGACAACTCGTACCACCTTGGCTGAAGTGGGTGAGTAACTAGGCTTTTCTTCCCTAGGGCTCATGTCTATTTTCCCCTGAGTTAAATTGGCTTGTATTTAAATGAATATATGAAGTTAATCTTTCAAAGTAATATCAGGGTGTGAATCTGACCATAAATAACTGTGACCTACCAAAACAATGCCATAAGTCTTTCTACCCATAGCTACCTTCCCATAGCTTCATTTCATAGTTTATAGCTTAGGATACTAATTTATGAGCTCGGCGAGTTAATTGGTGAAACCCTCGCACAGATGTGACGCCATTGGAATCGGTGACCATCATCAACGTAGATGCCAACAGTATATCGGCCATGTGGACAGCAGCATTAGTAGAACAGTGTGTTGATCATTATCATGTGTGTGTACAGGATGTAGTTTCCTTCACCGAAGACTGCTATGACATGAATGGCAGAGAAACAGTCTTCACGGTATGATAAAATCATTTGTTTTCAGTGCAGTCTGTTGCAAACTTATGTTTCGAGATGACAGTGAAGTAAAACATTTTGGGGGCAGATCAGCAATACAGTACTGAATATGTAAATGTATGAACAAGCTGACAGCCTGACAAATAATAGTTTCCAACAGATCCAAGGATGTGGGTATTATGACATGGCAATGATGGTACTGCTAGTATTCTTGACCCATCACTACTGTATCTCGCCATCAAACATCTCTTGCCTGTCCTTCTCTTATCGTTATACAACCATCACTATCTTCTTCTCCAAACCTCAATTGTTTCCATTATCACATTATTTTGCTATCTTGTGTGTTTTCTCTCCCCATATGAAACTAATTACAGTATCTTAATATGACATTTTTCCTCAGGACCTGGAGGCATGTGTACAATACGAAGTGACTGCGATGGCAGTCTCCCCCTCAGGCAAGCCAAGTCCCCCCAAGCACACCATGGCAACAACTGGAGAGCTTCGTGAGTGAAAATCAGAAATGAGAGAGAGAGGGAGGGAGGGAGGGGGGGGGGGGAGAGGGAGGACCAACTTAACTGAAGTACCTAACCTAAAATAGCATAGCATAACATAACCTGTCGTAATGTGTAGAAATTCTAAGAAACCAAATAACCAATCTTGACCTCAAAGCAATGCACACGACTTTCCTTTTTCAATATGAAATTCACATGTGTGTATTTTGACTTATTACCAGATTTGCAAACATGTGTGTGCTATAATAGTCCTTAAAGTACATATCAATGTGCTAAACCTTGAGAGGTTCCCATAAATAATTGGCATTTAAATGAGCATTAACACTAGTTTTGACCTACCTTCTTTACTCACAGCCACTAGTGCACCCACTGACTTGCAGTTGATAGATGTGACTGCCCACTCTGCCATAGTCACTTTTGGACCACCTCTGGAAAATCCAAATTGTGCCAACATGTACGACATCTTGGTCATAAGCCTGGAAGGCAGTGTCGACAAAAAGGTCAGTACCTAAAATGAAAAAAAGTACTATTTATCAGATTTTCCTATTTCTCCCCCCCCCCCCCCCCCAAAAAAAAAAAATTCAGATGAGGTTAACTGATTGGTTTAATAATGAGTCAATGGCTGCTTAGTATTAAGGCAAATATCTTATGATTTTATTGCCAAGCTCTAGTGCCAGTAGGTCACACACAGTAGTTTACTTCAAGAATATTTTACAAATATATTTTGAGTTGACAAACCTGCTTTGATAGAGAATAACACTTTCACAATGGATAATAAAAATTCACATATTCCCTGGTATCAATTAAAGATGTTAATTAAGTCTTGGGACTGAGTACTGACGCAACTCTTTTCCGCCGCCCTCCCCCCCACCTTACGTTAAAAGTGTGTTTAAAGTGTTGGATATATAGTTATAGTTGTATAGTATAAAGATTCATATATCTCTTATCATTTAGTATTTATACAACAGCAGCCTTCCTTTACAGGCCATGAGCATAGTCTCAGATGTGAGCACACGGCAGGAGCACACACTTACAGGTCTTGAAGGATGTACCAGATACATGGTGCGTGTTAAGGCAGTCACATTGTCTGGTTCCGTGAGTCCGGCCACCAGCCTAAATTTTACCACCATAGAAGAAACGCCCTCGGCTCCCCTTGAGGTGCAGCAAGCTCGTGTGACACAAAACTCTGTTGAACTGCATTGGTTCAGGCCTCAGGTGACTCCTTCCTTACCTTCCTTAACCAAGATTACTAACCATTTTCAAAATTATTAATTGTTGCCTGTACAGTACTGGTAAAATTACATCTGAATTTTGTTGCACCAAATTACCTCATCTAATCTAATCCTACAGGAAAGTAAATTGTGTGCCGAGGCCTACAGAATAACATGGACTAGCAGTACAGACAGTGGAAGCCAAGATTACCTATTTCCTGACCACCCAGCAAATGTTTGGGTAAGTCACTGAACTTGTTGGGTTACTTCAGATCAATATGGGGTTTGACACATCATTGATGAGTCAAAGGCCAAACCAGATGTTGGTGGGGAACATTAAATGAAAGTGAACTTGAGCTTGCCACTATATTAGTTAAAATTTATCTCATACGGTCAGGTTAAGAAATGCTACATTCTGGTCTCTTAGCAGTTAACAAATGGCAAACCTCATGATGAGGCCACATTAAATTATAATATATCAAGCCATGATGTCTCGTCCATGGCATGAATAGATAAAATTACTGTAACTAGGGTTATTCTTGCATTCTTTACACTCAACCAAGGCATGACCCAAGGTACACAGAACAAACTCTTAACACACTGGGTGAAGAGATGGCTAAAGGGATCCTAGTACAAAACCACATGAATTAATGCCAGAGTAATAGTCTAAAAGGACTATGAAGAAAATTACATAAACTAGGAGTGATTCCATGTGCACTACCAGCATTGGGCTAAAAGAACAGTCTGGAGAATTGAGAAACACACTTGTATCTTGTATTGGAGCACCTTGCATTAAAGTTTACACCTCTTCCACAGGCCACAGTGAGTGGACTGACATCGTGTACACTCTACACCTTCTCAATCTCGGCAGTAACGCCCTTGGGAAACGAAGGACCTCCTGCCACCTACAGTACCTCCACCAACTGCTGATGAATTACAACCAGACTTCCAGCTCCCTGTATTCCTATGGTATTGTTAATCCTTTGCCTTATAACATGACAAATATACTGTGACCCCCATCATAATTGTCCATTAATGCAGAGGATACTGTAACTTGCAGTACCAACTGAATAACGATAATAATAGTCTTGTAAGTCAACATGCAATGTTTGTATTTTGTATGGGGAAGGGAACTATCAAGAGAAAGTGTCAAACAATTATGATACAGCTTTTGGGAGAGATGGAGGGGGAGAAGGGGATGGATGGGGGGGGAAATAAATATTCCTCTTGTTTTAAAAAAACAAGAGGGATATGGTTCTTAGCTCCTATGTATTTTAGAATTTTCAAAAAGAATGGTTTCATAATCGAATTCGTGTAACTCAAGGTTTCCAAATGCTACAAATATTGTGTGTACTGTACTGTTACACTAATATTAAAAGTAAAAAACATTATCCTCTTTTATTATTTTAGGATTTTATCCTCCAGATAAGATGAAATATTAAAGTTGAAAAAAAGAAACGGGTGCCGAGAAGGCTAAAAGCGTGCAGTTTTCTCAGTTAAATATTATGGTAAGAAAGAGGCTAAGGTAAGGAAGCCAGGAAAGCTATATAGCACTGTCGATTACAGAATATTCAAGGTAGTAGAAAGAAAAAAATGAGCAATGCCAAAGCAGTCTGATTCACCAAGGATTTAATAAACACACACTTGACTCGAGAAAACAGTTGGAAAGCAAAGTTTCTGAGGCAGTAGTGACTAAGCCAAACCATGCAATTCTAGTAGTAAGGTTACATTAAGCGCCCTTTAGTTAATCTTGTGTGACCAATATATACCCAAGCCAAACAAGTTTCTCCACTTCCTATTTCAGTGACAGGACAAAGGCCACAGGGGTCAAATTTAATGGCACATTTTGCTTATCATACAAGTTACACAAGTATTGGAGTGATAGATGATTAAACATTATGAATGAGAGGTGTAGAAATTAGAGTAAGAATTTGTTTGAGATGGAGTAGGTACTAATGAAGTCTTTATTAGTAGCAGCAGCATCAGAGAGGTCACTTAAAGCAAAACAAATATGGCTCCAGATCCAGCAAAACTTTGCTGTTTTATCTGCTAAACAAAGTACAATATAACCAATGTTTGATTTGTATCACTGTAGGATGAAAAGTTAAGAATCCACATTCACAGAGCACACAAGAAAGAGCATAAATATCTTGATGTAAAAGTCAACCTAGGTACCATCTGCCCAAAGTTATGTCGGGGAAAGGGAGGGGGGGTTAGAGCAGCAAACTCCATCAGCTGATTACCCATCTGCTAGCAGAGCAGTAGAGAGAATGGTAGTGGTCAAGAAAGCCTCTGAAGATTAGCGAGGGTTGGGGTTCAAAGCCTACACTGCACAGGTAGACGGTTAGAACATAGTTTAAGAACTGGGACTTTCCATGGGGGATAAGAATAAAATGTATATAAAAAAAGTTGTGCAATTTTTTTTCTGAAATTTAATAGTATTGCGTACAAACACTAAAGTTTGACTAATTTCTAAATAACATTAGGAAAATTAACCATGGAAATTAATCATTTTTTATTCATAAATTTCCTTTCTCCCATATAGTAAATATTTCACCTACAAAATGTAGCACCATAATACAAATAAAATCACAATATGGACCATAATAAAATCCCATCACCATGCAAAAGTTTAACAAATTAGGAAAAAGTGATAAAGTATCTCTCCTTTGCTGTTGGCTGATTAGCACCCTTTCACACAAATGACACGGCACCATTAAAGCAAAGGCATCGGCCCGTGGGTTCAAAACAAAAATGACAAGTTCTGAACTCGTTACATTTGTAAGATTAACCATAAGCAGTCATTTCAGACAAACGGTTCAAACACATGCATAATTTCTTAACTGGAAGAACAGCAGAATAAGAAACTAGAACTGAAGACACTAGAAGAACAAAATTTGCTCTCCCAACAAGGAAAAGATCACAGTAATTCAAATAGTGAACATACCTTAATGGAAACAATAAGAGGCAAGAGTTTCTGTAATTGCCCCCAGGACCAAAAATACATTTAGATTGCTATACCAGGTTCACTATTTTCACATCTCTGGCAGGTACAAAGGTCAATAAAGTTACATTCTAAGATGACTAATAATTTATCATATGCTCCAGCAAAGAAAAACATTACCATATAAACTGATTTATATATACAGTATAACATTTGAACATTTACAATAGGCAGAGGTGTATAGTATAAATATAATCTTATTTATATATATTTGCTAGTATCTATTTACATTAAGCCATGACAATCTTCTCCAAACATTTTTATCACATAGTTGTATACACCTGTACATTAATTTTGATCTACATTTTCATGTGCAATATGAACATTTTTGGGGGAGGCCTTTCAAGTAAAACGGAACACAACCAACATCCAACTTTTGGAAAGAATAAGGTATTCCTTTCTTTCAATGAAAACCTAATAATAAGTAGGAAAATATGAAAATAACATTATTAAATGCATCAATTAAGATATTGTACATGATGCATTCTTCAAATAAAATACTGTGTATAAAATAAGGATTAGGAACTGAATAATAAAATAAATAAAATTATTGGTAATCTCACTGGCAAATCAATATTCCATACTTCTATTGAAATTATATATAGAATAATAATGTACACACGTATGTACATGTGTACGTACTCGCCTAGTGCTTGCGGGGGTCGAGCTTCGGCTCTTTTTAGTAATCCTGCCTCTTGACTGTCAATCAACTGGTAATTACCAGTCAATTGGCAGTCGAAAGGTGGGACTAAAGAGCTGAAGCTCAACCCCTGCAAGCACAATTACACAAGTACACATTTACATTTGAAACTGTATGGAGTCTGCCTCCACCATCACTGCCAAGTACATTCCATTTAACTCCATTATGTACATGTGTGTATATTGGCAGCAGGTAATATACACACATTTGCACACATTTCATTGATTATACGACTATAAATATTGATTATCTTTATTGTTAATTTTCGTGATTTACACACACTCTCTTATTTAGGCCGTCTATCCCTCTGACTAGTGCTCTTGCATCATGGTTTAATTAGAATAGGATTTCTTCAAATGTCATATTTGTTCTAGGTTGACTCAAAGAATAAAAATTAACTATGGAATGTATTACTTATTGTAAATTTACACGTTTTGAACTGACAAGGTTCATTCTCAAGTGAGGAGGCAGTAGATTGATGATTAAGCCACCCAAGAGATGGGCATGAATAGCCCACAGGTGAGGAGACTTGCCATGAGAGTAAGACTGCCCAAACTGCTGTGCCCACTACACTTACTAGTGTTTGTATGTATAGGTTACTGATCCATGCTTCTAACCTTTACTCCTTACTCTTCACCTATGTACAGGTTATTGACCTAAGCCTCATATTCCTCACCTAAAATGTATGTACTCTAAAGTCCCAGTGGTATAAATCCAACATGTCCCTTTACTGCCTCACTTGAGAATGAACCTTGTCAGTTTGAAACGTAAATTTATAAGAATACATTGTACAGTTAATTTTTATTCTTTTGAGTCGACCTAGAACAAATGACATTTGAAGAAATCCTATTCCAACCAAGAACACTCATCAGAGGGATAGAAGCCCCAAACAAGAAAATAATCAACACGGAATATGCAGTCATATATTCAATGAAACTTGTTCAAATGTTTACTGGTGTGCTGCCAGTATACACCAGTGTGTGTGTGTGTGTGTGTGTATATATAAACTTGTTTATTTTTTGGTTTCGGAGGGGGATGAAACAGCCAGTAGTACTGTAGTAGTCTCCTGGTCTTTACAAGAATGCATCACAGAGTGTACAAAATCAATTACATTTATTGTTATTAATTTGCAGGAAAATTTTGATATGGTATTTCTAAATAAAGATTTTGATTAAAAAAATTAATTCATTCATTTAACAGTACTGGAGAAGTTTACCCACAACAGTAAATTAAAACCCAAAAATCTGGTTAAAAAAAAAAATTTACTAACCCCCATTATTTTGGGGTGAACCCACTTTATACAAAAACCAAAAGTTGACTATTTACTCTCATCATGCACACAACCAGCCATCTTCTGCATGGTACTGCATAATATAAACTACATAAACTTGATATCATGCAATACTCGGATAAATATTAAAAAAATTAATAGAAAAATGCATCAAATACAAGTAAACCAGACCCTGCCTGTACAGTCAAAACAACACGCGTGAAAGCAACTACGGGGAATCAACATGCAGAAAACACTGGCAACAAAACAGCATTAAGTTCCATCTTGGTACACAGTGTGTTACTTTCTATAAGCTCATATGTCTCAAAGTATTTTCATGACACATTATGGAATGTAAATCAACAATAATAATAAAGATTTTATGAAAGTTATGTATTCTGTTACATGCCAGTAACATTCTGAGAAGCAAGCAAGCAATCCCGATACCATTCTGTTAATGCCTTAATATAATTTACAGTATTTTCATCAATACACAAAATAGTTACAAAAGCCTTTAAAACATGAACTACTGATAAAAAAAATTACATTACAAGAAATCAAAACCAGACACCAGTCTTGATTGCATGCAATTGATTCTTAACTCCAGGCAGACTCATATCAAGATGATAACTTGGCAATTTAACCTGCAGTGCAGTGTGGAAAGGAGTACAGGTTGGTATAAAGAATAGTCCATTTATATATATATATATATATATATATATATATATATATATATATATATATATAAATATATATATATATATATATATATATATATATAATATATATATATATATATATATATAATAAGGCTGGTGCAATGAGTATATGAAATATTAAGAGTATAAGGTTGATGAGGTGGCATGGTACTTACTGAAAGAGAATGGGAGGGATGGAGGAGTGTGTGGGGATGAAAGGGAAGCAGGAAGAGATGGCACCAGGTTGCCACCAGTAGCAGCTTCACAATGGACCCGCCAAATATCAAGCCAGTGCTACCACAAATTTATTTTTGTATTACATGTACTATAGAAAAGCCATTTGATTGAAAATTTAACACCATAAGCAATTAATCAAGATAATGACCTAAAAATAAACATTATAAGATAAAGAAGAATATCTTAATATGTACTACAGTATGCATATAACTTGCAAACTCTGAAGAGAACAGACATGATATTTCAAACTTTCATCTACATTCCGAGACATACAGTACTCAAGATGTCTTAAAAAAAAGTGAACACACACAATTAAAATGTCGAGGCTTAAAAATATTAAGTGCCACCAAGAGCCAGTGAGTGCTGCATTATGTTCATTTACATTGTAGAAATAAGAGGGAGTCAGATCAGAAAAGTGGCTTGTGAGAATACAGTCGAGGGGACTACAGGAGGGTTTGGGCTTACTTGTAGGAGACTACAATGGAAGAAATGTCAGGGAAGGAGATGATGGCATCCATAAACACGCAAATGTCCAATAACTTTCAAATGGTGCCAAGCAACAGAAATAATGAAAGTTCAAACCTCCCAAGCGGTAACAGACTGATAGAGAACGCCACACCCACGATACAACAGTGCAAGGAGGAAAAAGGGACAACAAAAATAGAGACAAATAGAGCATTTAACCCTCAAAATGCAGCTATCATGAAAATTGTCATCTTACCTATATTAAAAACAAAATCAATAAACAATATAAATGAATAGGCAACTTCTACTGTCAAGCACCAGTTGGCAGAGATTAAGCACATTTATTAATGCCGTACACGATGTTTGCTGACACTGTGATATAGGGGAGAACTTGTATATTCACCTTAAATGTTTTTGTTTCACAATTCATGTACACATAATTGACAAAAAATAGTGATTGAGCACTATACATAAGCCTACAATGAAATATTTACACCTATTGCACATAAAATTACTTCCTGGAACAGCTCAAAGTTGTGCCCACTCCTTCCTTGCAATTCTGTCTGGGAATATATGGATTCAAACACTAAATTGTCATTTGATAACCACGCACCTAGTACACGATAACATCAAACTTATAGTTAGAAATTACAAAAATTCATAATCTTTTTATGGGGTCTTTTTTTTTTTAACTCCATTACATCTATAAACAGCTAAATTATTAATTATATTGATAAGCCATCAATTATCATAAATAAATTAACATCGCTGGTATAAAAACTGGTAAAAAAATATAACATTGTTAAATGGGAATAACCAGTGACCCACAAGCTCAACAAATGACGAGCACTGCAATTAAGGTCCAAGGGTCGGAAATGAGCATCAGTATCAAAAGGGCAGCAGAGCAGTTTGAAAATGGTATTACAACAAAAGCAAAACCAACGGTACGAAACAAGACCACGTAATCAGACGGGGAAAACAGGGAGTAACGCTCGAAGAATGAGTTAGTGAAGAACTCAACAAGAGGTTCCAGGTCATTTCTACAAACTGGAGCCAGACTGGTGTCCAAGTAGAGGGGACAAAAGACAGCCAGAAGCAACCCTTGACAGAATTAAGGTTACTACAGAAGAACCAAAAATATATCCTGGAAGAACTGGATGTACCAAAAACTTCTGAACAGTGTAACTGAAGGAAGCTGCAGAAATCCTGTTGTTCACTACCACTTGTGGAATTTACATATGTCCAATAACAATAAAATAATTTTCAGAAAATTTGAGATCAGATTAATCATTTCCTTTATTCTTGACTCTTGAAATATACAAGCACAACATGAATGGAGCTTATCAAAAGATCAACCTGTAAGGATATCGAACCAAACTGTAAAGGATGTGAACCAAAGATCACATCAGCCAACAATCTATCCCTCACGACCAATATATATTTTTGTTCCTAAGATTTCAATTGTTTCTCGTCCCTAATTTGTTCCTACGATTTCAATTGTTTCTTTTGTCCCTAACAAAATAGTATGTGTAGGATTTATGATCCAAATCAAAGATCCAAGACCATTTATGATCCTTATGAGTATATAAGGTCATAATGGATACAAAATTCAACATTTAAACAGTTGTCAAAGATGTCAAGCCAACAAGTATGAGAAAAGTTCATAGTGCTGAATAGGGCTCTCATCCTTCAATGTTTTATTCCACAAAAAATTAGTGCTCTACATAGAGATTCAAATCCTCAATACTTTGATCACAAAGTAATTCTATCCCGAGCCCAAAATTTATTGTATCAGTATTGTCAATAACATCAAGGCAATGAGTGTCAAAGAGCATCATAGTACGAACAAATTGCTCTCATTCTTCCAAAAAATGCTTGATAAAATATTTTTTTATAAAATTCAAAACATTAGTATGTTTACTAATAATAAACACATGGAAAATACTGGAGGGCCAAGTCCCAAATCTACACAGTAAAATAAAATCCTACTAGAGTGAATGAAATGGAAGGAATTGCAGAATTGAACCAATGAAGAGCAGGGGTGCCATAGGTACAATAAGAGAACACACTATAAACATCAGAGGTCCACGGTTGTTCAACATACTCCCCCAGCGAGCATAATAAATATTGCCGGAACCAATGTAGACATTTTAAAGAAAAACTGGATAGTTTTCTTCAAGAGGTGCCAGACCAACCGGGCTGTGGTGGATATGTGGGCCTGCGGGCCGCTCCAAGCAAAAACCTGTTAAACCAATCTCTCTCAAGTCAAGCCTGGCTCTGGCTTGGGGAGAAGAACTCACAGAACTAGGTACAATCCAGTAATTTGATCGTATAGTAATTCTATGCAGAGTACCTTCCACCATACCTATAGCATTAAAAGGGAATGTCTGTCTATTCAGAATAGGCAGCTAGGTGCTTAGTTATATGAAAAGCTTACTCTACATTTGTAAACTTCAAAATCATTTTAAAAACTTGGAGGGGGAGACACCAAAGAAATTAAAAACAGCATTTGAAACACAAAAATTGGAGTATACAGTATCCATATCTGGTATCCATCAGGTATCCATATCTAGGGGGGGGGGGGAACATAAATAGGTAAAATGCTACCAAATCGCTTCCAGACCAGACTGGAGATGTTAAATGTCAAAGGTGGTAAAGAGGAAATACGATCACATACAAAAATGAAATGGGAATCGGCAAAGTTGACAGTGGAATATTGAAAACCTGCAATGTCTAGAACGAGGGGCCACAGACTCGAGCTTAGAAAGCAAAGGTGCTCTAATTATTAATTTGCACAAGAACTTTCAAATGAGCTGTAAATGAATAGAACTAGTTAAGTGAGGTGTAGCTCTCATTCTGAAGCTATAGTTCAATAAGCACACACGGGAAGACGGGACACCACGAGCATAGCTCTCATCCTTTAACTACACTTAGGTAATTACACACACACACACACACACACTCTTTCTCTCTCTCAAAAAACCTTTGAAGTTAGCAATCATAGACTTGGAATGATTTCCTGAAGCTATTGACTATTAAATTGAGATTTCTCTATTTATTCTGCACACCAGCCAATTGGCTCTAAAATCAGCCACCAGTGCTGAAAGATTCAAGTCAATATGCAAGGATATTCTCCGGGTATTGCACAATGTGAATGTCTAATAAGAAATCACATTTTATCAATAACACACCAGCAAAAGTTGTTCTTAGGCACATAAAATCTATAAAATCTAAAACACCCGTATCAATTTATCATGACGACCTCCATGACTGAACCTATGAATATAAGACACATTATAGTATAATGAATATGTTTGGAAAAGATTGTTTTAAACATACAGAACGTATTTGTAAAAAGTCATTTAAACAGTAGAAATAGAGACGGCATAGAAGATGGCTTAGTTTAAAAGGCTTCAAAATCTGACTCTCTCTCTCCAGGAGGCAACAGGGATTTCCATCTCTAAAGATCAAACATGCTTTAATTTGGCATCAGTAATTATCCTAACATAACCTATTCATCAACAGGTATAAAAAATAAAAAAACAAATAAAAACTTGCATTAACATTGCAGTTTACTTTAGTACAACCAGAATGAACAAATTAACAATTTTGACGTTAAATCCCAGCATAGTTTACATTAGCACCCAGGTACCCCTTAGTTATATCATCAAAAACTGATCAGACATTACTAATTACACAATGGGATTCACAAAAAAAAAAATTAACGATTATCTCATTCCCTGTAGTTGGCTATATTTCTTTAAAACAAATTAGTTTACACTAATCAGTGAATAAAATGATTGGCTACAAATTATTTTCCACCAATTCTCATAAAATACAAGACAAAATTAGGTATCTTTCTGACATGGATGCTCTTTTGTCATCTTTCATCCCTTTTAAGCTCTTTATTTTTATACACTAGAGTTTCTCATATAAAATATATCACAATCTAAATCTATGCTGACTACATGAACAACACATTTTTATGCAAGTAATCAGATTTATTTATTTCAGTTGTTACTGCATAAATGTGTATCAACATAAACAAAACCAAAAAGAAACAAAATGAATAGTATTTCATCTTGACTTAACTCAAGGTGAGAGCTTTGTTTGCTGAACTAACATAAACGTATGCACAGGGCGAGACCTTTGGTTGCTGAACATCAATGTTCACTTAAGGCGAGACCTTTGGTTGCTGTATTAACATAAACGTTCGCTCAGGGCGAGACCTTTGGTTGCTGCACTAACATAAACGTTCATTCAGGGCGAGACCTTTGGTTGCTGAACTAACCAAGCTAAGTTAAGAGTAATGATAATCCTGAGAAAACAAAGGTAATGCAGGAAAGTTGACAAACTGTATGCTACACATTTGTCAGTCGGTAGAGAAATAATTGGTTATTTACCAAGGACTACTTTAATTGTAGGACTGAATAAATTCAGTCCTACAATTAAAGTCCGAGATATGAGAACTTAATATGAAGCAGTAACGTGCTACCCGAATAAAACAATAACAAATCCTGCCACTTCATTCATACAATCATTAAACCAGGTCCTAACTTACAGATATGATTGTTATGGATTATTTGAGCTTAATCACAACCACAGAAAACAGAATGTCATATTATCAGTATCACTTTCCAACATTTTATTTGTGTTTCTCTTTCTTCTTTCCAACACTAAACACTTTTTTGTTGGGGGTTTCAATTAAAATATTCCAAAAGTATACAAGATTTGCTTTGCACATTGGATTTGAATACTCATTTGGCACAATACCATCAATGTAGGCCTCAAAATAACTGAACATTGGGAACCAAATTTTAGTCCTAAAAGAATCTCTCTGATGCAGAGCACGATTATTTGCTAGAGAATGGTAATAAAGGAACATACGAGACGTGATATAAAAGGCAATAAATACATCAATCGAGTAGTGCTCATGTGCAGCCAGGATAAAGAAAATGCCAAAAGTGTTAAGCACCCATGAAGCAATGTGCAGATAGTACATTCGTCTTGGAGTATCTGGGGAGAGAAATTTTGTTTTAATTCTTCCAATATAAACACACTGTACTTGCAAAAACTGTGCTGAGATAAACCAGCCCATCCTTCTGTTTAGGTAGTATTCATAAGTAACGATGAGGCCCATTGTATATACTGTATATTGACGCAAGAGGCAACTAGAAAGTAGAAATCTGTACTATTGAATTTGGACAAACTAGAAAAGTTTTGAATTGATGTTGCAAAGAAAACTTAACCTAATCTTCTTAGGCCTAATACACACCATCTGAGGCCTAATATAGTACATATATGTATTATACTAGGTCTAGGAATATTTAAGTTTGCCTTTTCGCTCTATTGTGTGGTCTCTATAAAATGAATACAGTAGTTCCATATTCTACCAATTTTCCATTGCATCTATATATGTACGAAGGTGCACATAGTTACAAAAAGTACTATGTAAACAGGAGGACGGGTTGGATAAGCACCATACAGTATGCAGATGACGAGTCATAATAATGTGGCTGAAGAGTTGCTATCCAACCCACAACTGAAAATGAAGAAATGTCAACGTTGTGGCTCATCCGGGACCATTACCAAGTCGTCTAATGAAAAGACAGTGGAAGAGAAAAAATATAACAGATGAGAGTGAGATGAAAGGTGAGAGGCAAAGAGATGAAGATAAGAATAATAAATTGAAATAAAAGTAAGATGAAAGGTGAGAATAAGATCACAGGAAAGAATAAGAGAAAAAAGTAAGAATATAAAGAATTAGGTAAAGGAAGGTTTAGAATTGCCATCCACACTTCCATGGAAATAAACCTTCCATTCGCCTGGACTGTATGGCTCTCAAACGTGGACCCCACGCGTGTGAGGCCGTAGCTCCATCAACTGGGCTATGAGCAGTCTTATAAAGGAGAGTTTCCTAAAGCAGCATCCTGCTGCCAAACTGGAATTTCCAATTTTCTCTGACTACTACTGAAACCCAGAGGAATTTATATGATGATGATATGGGTCAGTAATTCCCCTGGGCTTCAGTAGTAGTCAGGAAAAGTTGAAAATTCTAGTTTTCACGGTTCAAGACCCATTCAATCCAGGTGAATGGAGGTTTTAGAAGTAAGCAAAGGAAAAATTTAACAGGAAAAGGTATAAATAAGAAAAAGTTAGAAATGTAGAAAGCTAAAAAATAAATAAAAAAAAAGACCTGCAAGAAGCCAAATGACAAAGAAAAAATCTAGTAATGAAAGAGACAAAGAAAAGAGCACCTAGAAGGGTCAAAGCTAAGTCAGGTTACGTTTGTTAAGAAAGTTAGAGCTTTTAAAAAGCTACTGTGAAAGGGAAGAGTCAACCACTACTCAGATTACTACAAAGTATGTTAGTTTGTCAAAGGGTGAGTTTTACATCAAGAGGATGAAGGGTATTAGCGATTAGTCCTCCTGATGTAAAACTCTCCTTTCGACAAACTGACATGCTTTGTAGTACAGTAATCTGGTTCACACTGCTGCTGGTGTCTACTCTATTTCCTGTTCATCTTGTTTTCAATACTTTGGTGAAACTGGTCATACAATGAATGACAAACTTAAGGAACACAGACTTCAGACACAAACAATGCTGTCTTCTGACACGTTAGGGTCTCTAATCATGCTATAAATTGATCGTCCTCTATAATAATCATTCGTGTGTCTATTCTTTTCAGATGCCATCTTGTCAAGTTGGTTCTGACCCACCAACATCCTATTGGTTGGTCTTCTTCTAAAATAATCTTTGCTGCCTCAACTTTTCACAGATGCCATCTTGTCAAGTTGGCTCTGACCCACCAACATCCTATTGGTTGGTCTTCTTCTAAAATAATCTTTGCTGCCTCAACTTTTCACAGATGCCATCTTGTCAAATCGGCTCTTGATACACAACATGAACCTTAGTCCTGGCTTTGTTGTACTTGACTACCCTTTCACAGTACATTCTTAAATGCTCTAACCTTCGTAACAGACGTGATCTGACTTAGCTTTGACCCTTCTAGGCTCTCTTTCCTTTCTCTTTCATTACTAGATTTTTCTGTTTGCCATTTGGCTTTTTCCAAGTTTCTTTTCTTCATTTTATACCTTTATATTTCCTAACTTTTTCATATTCATTTCCCTATTCTTTTTTTCCTTCCCTTATTTCTAAACCCTTCTTTACTTTACCCAATTCTTTTATATTTTTAGTTTTTCTCTTAATTCTTACTATTTTCTCTAATCCTTTCCTTTCACTTATTCTTGCCTTTCACCTTATTCTTAACTTCATCTTTCCTTTTCTTCCTCTCACCTTTCATCTCATTCTCATCCCTTATATGGTTTCCTCTTCCACTGTCTTTCCATTACACAACTAGAAAATGCTCCAAGATGGACCAAAATGTCAATATTTCTTCTTATTCAGTTGTGGGTTGGATATCCACCATACAGTATTAAAATAAGCCTTTATTTTCAGATATTTCGCTCGGTATAAGCCTAGAAACTGCACTTTATGTTAATTTTAACATCAAGCGCAGTGTCTGTAAATAAGTGATTATCACTGAAAGACACATTACTCAACTTAATACATAGGTGTAAGAGATATTATTATACTGTAAAAACAATGTTATTAAAGGTATTGACAAATTAATGAAGTTACTGTCAATAATGTTAACTCTTGACAACGATAAGTCCATTATACCGAATGATTAACCCTTTCACATTTTTGCCCCCTCACCAATTTTGGACTATGACCATACCAGCGTCATTTGAGCAAATGGCGACTGTAGGCATCACAAAAATGTTAAAAGTATAAAACCCTACAGCTAAAAAAATAAATAAAACAAAAAAAAATTAATAAAGAATGAGCAAACATACATTCTGTAATGAAGAAGTTAAGCAAAGTAAGGGCAGTGGTGTGGCCGCTGAACATGTAATCCCCACAGGTGCGAACCCCCTTGATGCTCAGTCCCCCTCCCTGCCAGATTATCCACGCATGTTCCAGTTGTGTCAGTAGATCACTTGGGTCCTGTATTTGGATTATAAACATATTGGTAGGTTCAGCATACATGAATTATCACATGAAAAACTAATAAACTCGTTTATACTGCATACTATTCACATTCTCTTAATTTTACTTTCAAATAATTTTCCACGCCTACCAGACTAAGCACCCGTGAATGAGAAAGTAACCCTGAATCCAGTAAGAAAGCAGAAGGTAGACGGAATGGCCTCTCAATTAAAAATGAACTGCAACAAAGTTTTGCACATTGCAGAAAAATAATGCAAGGGAGCACACCACACCACACCCATATCCATCCAAGTCCAAGAGTCCAAGACCTCTGCCATGGCCAGTAAGAAAAAGAAAGAGGCCTCATAGTCAAGGGAAGAAATTTATTAAGCCATAATCTATCCCTGCCAAAACTGGAGAAAGATGGAAAAGTCTGTGGCTAAAAATAAACCAAAAACATACAGAGCTATGTCAGTTCCACCAGAGCATGACCACAGGTAAATCAAACTGAGTACACCTCTACTCACAGAAGACAGTGGCTAGACAGCGCACCAGGAAGCTTGCAAAAGTACTAATTGAAAGTCTTTAAATTGCTAATTTAGTGATTGAAATAGATTACAATTTATTAGGAATGTGCTTTTTGCAATTATCCCAGGTTGGACTGGGTGTTCTGCAGTGTTTTCCTAACAGCAATATGAGCCGACAGATACAGTGTGAAAATAATCCCACTGCACTGGTGAAAAACCAGTACAGTAGGAATATTTTCACACTGTATCTTCCGGCTTGTATTGCTGTTAGGAAAATACTGCAGAATACCCAGTCCAACCTGGGATTTTGAAGTGCTCGGACTTATTATAAACTTGACCTTGGGACCCGGAGATTCTTGCCTTACTGAAAACCAAGTAGCATAGCTCATAAAAATATATTATTGAATACAACTATTCAATTAAATATCTTTTATTGGAGTCAGGAATGTAATTTCAAAAATGGATACGAGACCTTATCTACATATATTAATGAAATTGGACTCCCCTGAAATAAATAAAAATAAATGTGGGGGAAGTCAAAATAACACAAAATAATGGATATAAGTTGTTAACAAATAAGATTGTTGACTTGTAGAACAAATTAACATAATAGATATGCAGTCACCTGATTGTTTCAAGCATAGATTACACATATACGAGTAAGTTTTGTTAGATATAAATAGGAGCTGCCGTATGCGGCCTCCTCCACAAAGGCCATAAGGCAGCTCCAATAGGCCTTCTCTAGTTGCCCTTATTCTTATGCTACAGTATTATGCTTTGAAAAAAATACAAATTATAGATTGAATTGCTAATTTGACAGTTTCTGTACACCAGCTAGGTGGGTCCTTATGTTACCTTAGAAAAAAAAGGGTTTAGGGGTTGGCCATGGGGAAGATCAGAGAGGAGGCCCAAAAATATCAATAATAGAATGTTTCTGATAAATATCTATCATACTGCAGGCTTAAATTAAGATTTTACCTGGTAAAATTTGAATAATATTGAAAGTACAGTAACTGGGTATGATTGGTATCTACAGAACTTTAATACTGCTTACAACTTGTTTTTGAAGGTTTTCAGAGAAGGATGCTATGAAAAAGCCACTGAATTATTTAAAACAAAAGAATGGTTGGTTTTCATTTGAGATCAGAAGCAGTTTCATTCTTTAACCATGTAGCTATGTTCAATAAACCCTTGAACTATATGTTTAACACATCTCTAACCCTGTCAGAAGAAAACATGGAGGACAGAAGAAAATGTATATATGCTGGTTAGCATTGTAAATGTGTGGCCACATTTGTGGTAGAATATAATAATAATAACCATGTAGCTAGCTATCTTTGAAAAATAGTGTGTAGGGAGCTTAGTTGTGGAAAAACTTGATGATGAGATTGAAAACTCCGTACTGTATAATCAGATTCTCCTTGTCAATACACATTGCATGAGGTGTTTCAATTAAGATTTTGTTAAATACATACAGCCAGTGTATAATAAAAATAGTGAGCATCATGAAACAAAGAGCTGGCTAAGGTCAATTCAATTTACCTTTTTGTTACTTCCTAGCTTCATGTTTACCTTTCTCTTCCTACCCACAACACATTCACAGTCAACAGCCCAAAGACTATCTGCAAATTGTCTAATAAAATCAATTTTGTTTTGGCCGAAGAATACTTCAGAGCAAGTCACTCCACAAATTATAAATATAATGAACTGCTATAAAAAAAGAAAAGAAAAGAAAAAAAAAAAGTCCAGTCCCAATTAGTACAGCTAATTCAGAGTTGATTGTAATAAGCAACAAATTTTAATCACTTACAGAGAATATATATGAACTAAATTGTTACCAAATGCTATGCATCACAACAATTTTCCCATTCACAACAAATATCCTCGAGATCTTGGAAATTACTGCCATTGTCAGATAACAGATGATTGAATCAAATTAACTTGCACAAATGCCAGACATGATTTCATTAATGAAAAATATGATCGTTTAAGGCATTTAAAAAAAATTAAAAAGAAAAAGAAAATAAAGATCAAGGCACCGAAATAGTTTGAGAACTGAGCAGATCAGGAAAACATCAAAGCAAACCACCACTTACCCACTCCTCCTCAGCTTGGATGCTGGTTTCCCCACTTCTACTTCTCGTTATTTAAATACTGTGCATTTCAATATAACCCCACAAACATCCACACCTCCCAACTGCATTATGGTATTAACGTCACACAACACAGGCTTTCCACATCTTTCGTACAATTCACTTCTGGACATACCACTTATCAATTAATACTATTCATATCTTTCAAAGAAGTTAATTTGAACAATTTACTTGCACTAGCTCTTTCATATCCACACATCATTCAAATTGTCATAATTTCCCTCAAGGTTACAACTATCTTTTCCCATGAGTAACTATACTGTATCTTACTTTATGCAACCCTTGAACAGAACTGGTTCTAAATACCTCATTTCCTGGTTATTATTCAGTACTTCAAAATCCATTCTTATCTTTTTAGTCATTAAATATTGTTTTTGCATTACAAAAAGCACATCTCCTGTGTCAGGTGAATACAACGGGCTCACCATAGCCCATGCTGCTTGGAACTTTTTGTTCCGAGTAGCTGAATCTAAAAACAACAACATTTCAAAAATGCAACACAAACTAGATTTTGAGTGAGCTGAGCTTAGTGGGCTGATCTTGCTTAGTCACCACAAAGCAGTTCACACCCAGAGTTGCAACAGCTTATACTCCAATGCTTCTATTGCTGGCTTTGCAATTGAATTAGCATCAAATTATTACTTTTCTCTTGAATAAAATATAGACAATTATAATAAACTGGAAACATGAACGACAACTGACCCTAGGTTCACACTCAAGATGAGAGCCAGGCACCGAGAGGCTCGTGATGAACATGGTAGCACAACGTAGCAAAAACACCGACCCAGAGAGTGCACAAAATCGTCTGATTGCTATAGACCTGTAACAGAGGTAGTGACATTAAACATTCATGCTATGCCTTATCAACTGATCAACTAAAACCTTCAAGAATGAAATCAGATTTAGTAAAGACAAAATTGAGACAAAGATGAAATGTCTTGTATAACCTTGATACTATTCCTTTAATCACTTTGATAGGCTTGAAGGTAATTTCCAAACTGATCATGTCTCGGAGAAGCAACAACTTCAAATATGAATAATGAAACAAATAGATACCCCACTTAATATTATAAATAAAACATACAAAATCTTATGGATATCATGACAATTTTGCATTTAAGTCTTCCAGTCCTTACAATCCTATGCCATAAACATGTTTACGGTGCACCAGCTACCTTACCACAATGATTCGGGGTTTAATAAAAATCCCACATCAAGACAGGGCAGTAGTCATTACAAAAATAATAACATTCCTAACATTTGAATGCACTATAAAAGCATCAAATTATTCCTAGAGACTTCTTACTCAACTCAACAGCAAAAGAATGTGACTTCAAAAAAAAAACAAGAAATGATAATTTTCTCACCTGTGCTTGTGGAAGAAAAGGATTACTAGCCAAGTAGTAGTTAATAAAATGATGGTTATCTCACACAGCTGGAAGGCCCATGGAATGTGTGGGACATTGTCCAGGAAGATGTCTGGAAGAGGAGGATGTCTCTCCTGCAAAATGAAATGATAACTACATAGTGTGCTTTGTAGTTATCATTTATAACAACAACAACAACAGTAGTACTGTATAATAATAATAATATTCCAGCAGCAGAAACCATGGCAATAATCCGGGCTAGTTCCTGAAACTGCTGATGTAGAAATGATGACATTATACTGAATACACTTCTCTAAAAACATTCATTATATTTCTGAATGTGTAATCTGATGAATACATATTATCTAATATTAATATTGTGAATATGTCTCAATACAAATTTCATGCAAGAAGTAATTTCTAATTTCAGGTTAGAAGTAATTCACATATGTACTAAACAAATTACTTTAAAAGTTCATTTTGAAAATAATTATATTAAGGAAAAGGAAGATCAACACTAAATTACAAATAAAAAGTAAGAATAAAGCTGATAATAGTCGACAAGAGTTATCCCTATCTTTATGTACATACAACATGTCACGCTCAACAGCAGCAGTGTGGGAAAATCCACAAAAAAAAAAAAAAAAATATGCGGACATCTTCTCCAAGCATTCTCCAGAGGTATAAATCAATAGAATTGCATGAGCAGCATACATTCAGCTGTCAACATCAGGACTACATTTAGGAATCTAGACAAGAATGCATTTAAAAAGCTATACACTGCACATGTACAACCGACACTAGTGTGAGCAATACTTATTAGCATCTTATCCCTCATCTCAAAAGCATAAAGAACGAGAAAGTATAGATTTGCTATACGATTGGTCCCAGAACTGAGGGGGATTGATGTATGATGGAGGTAACTAAATTTAATGGTGCAGGCGAGGAGTCACAATAACGTGGCTGAAATATGTTGACCAAACCACATACTGGAAAGTGAAGGGACGACAACGTTTCGGTCCGTCTTGGACCATTCTCAAGTCGAATGTGACATTCGACTCATTCTCACATTCGACTAACATAAATTTAACGGTAATGGGAGGAAAAAGACATAGCAGAAATTATAAATTGGATATAAAATATTTGGGGAAATTTATGAAATTGACAAAAGACAGTGTTTAGGTTGAACAGAAGTAGAGTATGACTAAAAGGACAGGCATGGAAGCTAGTGATATGGATAACCCACAGGAATGTGAAGAAATACTTCACATTCCTGAGCAATATGCAAGTGGAATGAATTTGAATGGGAAATAGTAGCAGCGCCCTCTTTCCATAGCCCAACCACTTGGGGTGGACGATAGAGCGACGGTCTCCCTTCATGCAGATCAGCATTCAATTCCTGACAGTCCAAGTGGTTGGGCACCTTTTCTTTTCCCTGTCTCATCCCAAATCCTTATCCTGATCCCCTCCAAGTGCATACATAATCATAATGGCTTGGTGCTTTCTTTTGATAATTCCCTTTGCTCTTTCCATAGTTTTAAAAACAGATAAGACAGGGAGGGGGGAAAGGGGGGGGGGGGGGGGGGGGGGGGAGGAAGAGGTCATTAGTCATTACATTAGACAACTGACAGTTGGGGTAAGGAGGCCAAGGAATCAAAGTTTAACCCTGCAAACTCTGTTAGATTAGTACAAATCCATATACTCCAAGAGAATATGTTACACATACATACAGCACTCTATTAACCTTCCCACAATAGATAGAATGGTGCCACAGCTAAACCTAAAATTGGACAAATTAAACACCGAATCGTATGATTAGAATAAATTTTGTAAAATCTGATTCACCACTAAGTTACCAGAATGAATGCATTACTGGGAAGGTAATGCAGTTCTGTTAATTCACCCAAGGTAGTTTATCTTGAACTAATATTAACAGCCATCCATATGTACTGTAGAGTATATTGATATTTATGTTCGGTACATACAAATATTTTCTATACAGTACACATGACTTGTTACATATTATATGACATAAATCAACGCGATTCAATTTCTTTACCCTTACCCTGTCAGGAACACGATCATGAACAAAGACCATGACAATAGCTGTGATCCATGTAACGAGGAACATGTACAGGCACGAGATGATAGTTTTCATGTACTCTGGCCGGAGCTGAGTTGCCACACCACTAGGCCGCCGCAAGCCGCCAAATTTTTGCTGATCTGGAAGATCTGAGGCTTGAGAATCTGACGAGTAGGTTCTGAAAGTGGAGATCCTACTTTTATAAGAAACCAATAATGATAAAAAAAAGCCATTCACTGGTGAAAATAGAATCAATTCTTTTGTGATTACTGAATGCCTTGTATCTAACATATCATAAATATTAAACAAAAGTGTAGCTACCTAAGTGTGATTACAGGATGAAAGCTAGGCTCAAGGTATTCCATCTTCCTTATAATCTTTGTCATAAGAGTGAAACTACTCATGGTTTTGGCATCCAGCTCCACATTAAATTGCTCCAACCATTCACAATTCGGGTTGCATAAAAAAAAACTTCGAACAGTCTTTCCGCATATATAGCCTCTGTTCTTGAAGTTGCAGGCTTCAAGAATTCCGCTTGTCAGCTTTGTAAATTCCTGTCATCATCTTGTATGTGGTGATCATATTGTCTCGTTTCTTTCCATTTACTAGCTCTGACAAATTTAAGTCTTTTCTTATAGCTTGTTTATCTTTTTAGGTTCAGGAGCCATTTAATAGCATGTCTTTACACCTTTTCTAATTTAAAAATACAGTACTGTATATAAGACAATACACAACTGCTGCAAATTTTAAATTGTCACTATTGTGAAAATGTTTTGAGCATTTCTCAATCAATGATTTTAAAATACTTCTGAAATTGACACTTCCTTCTTCCCATGTAACTCAACATCCAAACACATTCACATACAGTATCTCAAAATCTCTTCATGAAAATCGTTTATTCAGATAATAAACAATACTTGTGCTGGTCGTCTCATGTGACTTCACTAGTGACATTCCGACACTTCAATATTTAATCATCACCGCCACTCATTTTTATCAGTCAAGAAATTTTTCAGCCATTTTAGTAGTCAGCGTGTCACCCCTCTACATGGTCTTACTTGCAAAACATCGTATGTGAGAGACAATCCATCGCCCTTTTTCCTGTCCAAATATACGTAGTCAATTCAACCATCCAGTCCAGGATTGATCAGTCCAGCAACCAGGAGGCCTGGTCGACAACCGGGCCGTGGGGACGCTAAGCCCCCGAAGCACCAGGAGGCCTGGTCGACAACCGGGCCGCGGGGACGCTAAGCCCCCGAAGCACCTCAAGGTATCCTGTAAGATCTCTATGGCTCCATCATAATCTAAATAAAAGTGTTACACTGGACCTTGTAATTCATTATTATCATTGCTTTCAAAGATATTCTATCCATTTGGTTTTAATTGCTTTCTCAAATAATCTGGCTACCACACTTAACAACTATACTGGTCTACAGTTTAGTGGGTCGTCTTTGTTATCACTTTCATTGACAACATGTGCTATACAGGTATTTGCTTTTTTCCCTATGTCTGTAAAGATCCTTGTTTGAAACTATGTCTGAAAAATAATTTATGGTGGAATACTAAGGTTGAGTGTGCATTTTCTCGGAACTCGGTGAAACTCCATCTGGCTCACCTGCTTAGTCTCTGCCTTACTCCTTGAACAGTTTTTTACACTGTTCCAAGATACTTCTAGGTGAACAAATCCACAAGGGCTGTGACGAGGATTCGAACGTACGTCCAAGATCATCCCAGACGCTGCCTTTATCGACTGAGCTACGACACTGTCAATAGAGTTGAAACTGAAGTTCTACTGAGCTTACTGGATCCTCCAGCCTCTCCGAGACACAAACCAGGGTTTTACACAACTCCCCATGCACTCAAGCTATGTCAATAGGCCACGGGAGACATCTCCCGTCACGCAGGGTGCAGTCGCACCTCCACAGATCTCCAGAATCATCTATTGATACTGGAAATGGCTCAAAAGGGCCACCACTTATGGGCTATTCATGCCCAAGCCACCTTTTGGGTGGCTTAATCTTCTCTCTCTCTCTCTAATCATCACACACCATCTGGTCACCACTTTGCCCGGGAGACATCTCCCGTCACGCAGGGTGCAGTCGCGCCTCCACAGATCTCCAGTATCTTGATACTGGTAATGGCTCAAAAGGGCCACCACTTACGGGCTATTCATGCCCGTGCCACCTCTTGGGTGGCTTAATCTTCATCAATCAATCATCATCAGTCAATAGCCCGAGTGCATGGGGTAGTTGCGTAAAACCCTGGTTTGTGTCTCAGAGAGGCTGCAGGATCCAGTAAGCTCAGTAGAACTTCGGTTTCAACTCTTTTGACAGTGTCGTAGCTCAGTCGATAAAGACAGCGTCTGGGATGATCTCGGACGTAGGTCTGAATCCTCTTCACGGCCCTTGTGGATTTGTTCATTTGATGCATCACGCTATTGCGATTTCTGTGTGTAATACTTCTAGGTGTTCTAAGTTTTGTTAAAAATTATGCAATATTTGGTTCTGTGAAAGCATTGTTTTGCAATCATACAGTACTTTGAAACTGTAGCATAGTGGTCTACCTCCCTGACTTACAACTGAGGGACTTGAGTTCAATCCCCAGGCAGGACAGAAACAGGTGGGCAAGTTTCCTTTTAGCCATAGGCAATATCAAGGAAAAGGTCATTAGTTGGCCTAATGCAATGTTGATAAGTAGAGGCTTCCTGTCCCTGCATTCCCTGACAAAAGGAATTACTTTGAGTTACACAAATTTCCCGGTTATTCCTAATAATCTGTTTCCCATTCTAAGTCTGGATTTTATCCATCAAATGCTATTTACTATAACTGAACTGTGTTGTGTTGGGAGGGGTAGAGGCAAGCAATGTACAGCTGGTGGTCTACTGATGTGGTTGGGATTCAGAGGTGTTGCTATCGTCACATGGTACAATGCGATTCTGCTTGAATAGAATCTGCTCTTATAGATCCCTTGAATCCCTATGTCTATGGCAGAAGACGTAGGCCATTCGGGCCAGGATGTCCAATAAACAGAAGAAAATGGTAAAATCTTAGTCAAGCAGGGTGGAGGGGAATGTTAGAGAAAGAAGGTAGATGGGATGGCATCAAGGGTGCTTGGCTGGGAAGGCAGCGAATGAGCTGGCAGATGTGGGGCCGACTGCTGGAATGACTGGAGGAAAAATGGGAGAGGGGTTGGGGGGGTATTTTAAGTTTTAAAAGGAACATTAGTTTTATCGTCACACAAAACCATTAGTTTAGGGATAACGAAGGGGAAAAAAGTTGCTATGGGAAACATTGCTCAATTTCATTAGGAGCCATGGTTATATTTTCACACTAAAGCCTTTTATATTTCAGATAAATATGCTGAGGTGTTAAAATATTGAATGGAAACGTGTCAAAAGAGGTTTGAAAATATAAATGCATGAACACGACAAGCCATTATGTCTCCCTATGAGGGAGCCAGTCGGCCGAGCGGACAGCATGCTGGACTTGTGATCCTGTGGTCCCCGGGTTCGATCCCGGGTGCCGGCGAGAAACAATGGGCAGAGTTTCTTTCACACTATGCCCCTGTTACCTAGCAGTAAAATAGGTACCTGTGTGTTAGTCAGCTGTCACGGGCTGCTTCCTGGGGGTGGAGGCCTGATCAAGGACCAGGCCGCGGGGACACTAAAGCCCCGAAATCATCTCAAGATAACCTCAAGATAACCGCCTTTACAAGTTATAATATAAAACTTAAGCAAATGTAATTAGTTAATAGTCAATTTTAAGAGCTCACCTGTTTCTGGTTTGAGAAGAAATATTTGATACATGAGGCAATGTTGGTTGAAGATTGAGGTGATGGTTGGAGAATACTGGAGAACTCGCAGTCTTATTATGAGAACTGTCTGGAGAACTTAGAGAGTCCAAGGGAACATGTGCACGTTGTAATCTTCTTATGGCAGAATATAATCTCTTCAAATCTCCAAGGATCTTAAGAAAAACATTTATAATCAACTTAAGAAAATAACCCACACATCTAGAATATAAACAAAACTTCTGACTTGAAGGTTTTCAATAAAATTTTATATTGAAGTATTGGCTGCTCAAAGTAAAGTTGGTAAAACATTGGGTCTAACTTTAACAATGTGCTCACTTTCCTCTACTCATACTGCAAGTAATTATCAAAAGAAAGCACCAGGCAAGGAAGACTACACAAGCACCATTGCTCTTTCAGCAAGACACCCAATTTAGAACCTATTCAAAACTACTTACATCTACACAATAAGGCTCAAAACATGATCAATGAACTCTCCACTAATAATGACAGTTAAAAGAAACATATTACATATTCACTCACTGTGATCTTCAGATCTTCCTTGAGATCCTTCTCAGTGAGAAGTAAAAGCACTTCTCCATTTATTTTATGGTGTGAAAATGCTGCTTTATACTGTGCAAAGCCTTGTTCTTCGAGCCAGATCCCAACATCAACAATGGTCCAAAAATCTGGGTTGCTACTAATCATCTTGGTTACCTTCATGAGAAGCTTCTTATATCTCACTTTTCTGCATGGTGCAAAAAAAAAAAAAAAAAAAAAACGAAATTAAAAGCTCCTTAATCCTGCCATACAGTACCTATTTTACATAAAAATTATATGATAGCATTCAGTTTAATGGAAAATAACATTAAAAAATATCATGGAACTACTATGACACTTGACAAACACAACCTTCCTTAACCCAAGATAACCCTCCCACAGCAGTGCTTCCATATTGGTACCACCTTTCTCCTGGTCAATATTTTTTATAATAATTATATATCTCCTATTATCTTTTACATTTATAGTGGAACATTTAACAACAAAAATGCATGGGAAAATGCATTTCTAAGAAAATATGGTCCCAATAATGTGATATCAAACCACAAACATTCGTAAGAGAATACCATTCTTGTATTTTTTTGTGGGGATGGGTTCTATTATTTTTCTAATATTTTTATGAAGTATTTATTTCCATATACTGAATATTTTTATTTATTTATTTATATATATATATATACAAAAGTTCTTACATTCTTATAACGCCAATAGTACTCAAGAGCATTTTGTGCAGGTCCTTAATCGTAATCTTTTCCCAGGAATACGACCCACCAAATCGTTTAACAATCAGGTGTAAACTGCTGGGTGAACAAATGCTACAGTTAAGGATTGACACCCGGTCAATCCTCCCCAGCCAAGATTCCAACCCAGACCAAAGTATTCGCGAAGCATCAGGGCAATTGTTTTACCACCGTGCCAAAAAATTAGAAAATGCATGCTGGGCCGACCCGTAGAACAGCAGCAGTAGAGGAACAAGGGGGAGGGGAAGGGACTTGCACACCAAATACCCATGTGTTGTGAGACCAAAGGACATTTAATACGGAATGAGAGACCATTAGCAGAACATTCATTAGCTTGGAGCCCAAACATCAGCTAGGAATCAAATGGAAAAAGAAACTATTAACACATCAACTAGTCATGCACAGATCAAGGCCAGCACAATTTTTTTTTTTATGAAAAAACTTTTTCCAAAAAAAACATTGATAATTTAAGGATCACAGAGGTGAATAAATATTATGCACTGCCAGAAAATAAGGCGACTCATGACATGTCTGGAGGAGGTAGTCCCACAACCTCAGAGAAGGTATCACGTGACATATAAGGAAAAACAACTTGATCACAGGGAAAGCAACACTGGCCAAAGTCGGAATAAAATGAAATGCTAGCACACACACAATGCAGATAACAAACATGTTGACCAGTCGCCTGCATAGCATAAACATAATCATGAATCATAAATTTCAATAAATGTAGCAATGTTCCAAGGAAAGTCGGCACCACTTAGTTGAATAGCAAGAAGTAAATGATGGGTTCAATAGACTTGCAAGTGCCATCTGGTAGTAGATAGGCACACCTCAGCAAGAGCATTTATCCCACAATAATGATAATTTGTCTTGTTTATCCTAGTGGTACCTAAGTTTTTTCAATTAGTCACTCATTGCAACTATGAATTCTGGTGGGTTTTCTCATTTTATGGATAAGCACTGATCCCTTGCCTTGAAGAGCGAGCCTGATTCTGGTCGCGGCTCCCAGTAGGCGATGGGTGGATCACGGAAGTCTGATGTCTTGGGTTAATGGTGTGGTACCAGTGAAGTCTGAGAACTGCTGTAGTCTCTCTCATTAAACTAAATAAAAACTGGTTTTGAGCTTCCATTTTCTATTAAAAAAGCAGGTCTAGTAACCCCATACAGAAGAAGGCATTAAATCTTCCCAATACAGTATACTGAATATCCATATCAATGCAAGAAATATTTACCATGACACGCATGCTCCCCCAAGGATTTTAATGTATTTTAGTTGTACTGTATTACAAAATAAATCTGTTCTATTCCCACAACACCAATTTGTTAACTTCTCATTGGTTTTTCAAATTTTTTAAATTTCTAATATAAATCATTATTCTTATATTATGGTTTATATTAGTATAAACCATTCTAATATAAACCATCCTTTACATATTTATCATTAATCTTCATAGCACTCACAACAGTGACACTCTTGAACAGGAACTAATTTTTCCTGACATTTAGATTTCCTGCATCTGGTGACATTTTCCTTGAGCAACCTAACTGATTCAGGCACCAGGCCCAAATTTCTGTCCCAAACGCCAGATGTCTGGATGAACATTCCAGGATGTTGAAACTATTGCACAGTATTGTTCCCATGCATTTCTAAAACTTGCCTACCCTAGTGAACGCTTGTTTTTGAAGGCATTACTGCTTATTGTAGCGAAAGCAGTATATCTTCGGCTACCAGGAAATGTTTCAAATACTGTATATATGAAACATGAAATTATGAAACATATGAAATTATTTAAATTTTATGGTTTCAATGACAAAGCCTGTTAGGATTATCAAGGTCCCCCTATACCAACTCCCGTCATTCCATTTATGATTAAAGTGTAATCATAAATGCATTTAGTCCACCACCATGCAACATATGGACAAAGGAGGAGCTGGATAATAAACGAGAGGATCTTATAACAATAATAGAGATTGTAGCGAGAGCAGATAAGGATAGATAACGCCTGTTGGCAGTCAGCGACTTTAATTTGAAAGCCATAGACTGGGAGGCACATGAAGCTAGAACAGAGGACTTTTGAACCTGTAGAATTGTAAACCTCATCCGAAAACATTCATGTATTAACATGTTAAATAAGCTAGGTTTAGGGAAGGGGATGTTGCCGCCATGCTGATATTTACCAGGAAAGAGGAAGAGATATTTGACATTCAGTACCTTCCTCCATTGGGTAAAAGTGACCATGTCTTTTTGGGAATACAGTATGCAATGCGTTATAATCTGGATAAAAATGAAGTTGAAGCAGTTGAAAAATCTGATTTCAGGAGAGGACATTATGGGGAACTTAGAAATTCTTCAAGGAATTTGACTGGAAAGACTTGCTGTTAGGAAGTAAATGAGATGAATGTCAAGTGTTGTAAAATATATGATAAAGGCACAAATTTATACCAAAGCAGAGATGCAGAACTAAGAAACAGGATTGGTTCAACAGAAATTGTGAGAGGGGGGCCAGAGACCAAGACACAAAAATGGAATCAATATAGTTAAAGGTCAAACCCCCAAACATACAAGCGATACAAAGATGCGAGAAACAACTACAGTACACAGCAGTGAGAAAAGAGGAAGAAACAAATTTTAAGAAAGGGATAGCTGACAAAAATAAAACAGAACCAGGCCTATTCTATAAATTCATCAACAACAAATTGCAGGTAAAGGATAATATTCAGAGGTTTTGTACAAAATTAAATCTTCAGAAAACCAGACACAATAAGAATTCCAGAGAACATCATAGAGCACATAGAGGTGTCTAGAGATGAAGTAGAAAAAAATGCTCAAGGAGCTAAGTAAGAACAAAGCAGTTGGCCCAGGAGTTTCACAAAGGGTTCTGAGAATGTGCACCTAAGCTCAGCATTCTACTTCAACTGATTTTTAAGGCATTCCTGTGTACCAGAGTCCTAGCAGATGTGTGGAAAAAGGCTAACATAGTTCCAATCTACAAAAGTGGCAGCAAGGAAGACCCCTCAATTATAGACCTGTAACACTGACAAGTGTAATAGTCAAAAATAGAGAATAATAATAAAAACTAAATGGGTAGAACACCTGGAGAAAAACCATATAATAACAGTATTTTTTTTTACTCAGTTTCTATGATCAAGCCACAGAGATTTCACAGGAAAGAGACAGTTGGGTTGACTGCATCTATCTGGACCTAAAAAAAAACTTTCAACAGTTCCACATAGGAGGAGGTTCTGGAAACTGGAACACATTGGGAGAGTGACAGGTATGCTAAAATGGATGAAAAAAATTTTAACTGACAGAAAAATGTGGGCAGTAATCAGAGGCAATGTACTGTATCAGACTGGAGAAATGTCACGTGTGGAGTACCACAGGGTTCAGTTCTTGTATCTCATGATGTTAAGATAATAGGGAAGATAAGAAACCGAGATGATTGTCACACCCTTCAAGAAGACCTGGACAAAATAAGTGTATGGATTACCACTTAGCAAATAGAATTTAATGTGAATAAATGCCAAGTGGAGAAAGATTGTGAAAAATGTGGAAAAAGATAACATAGACCCCACACAACCTATAAATTGTGAAGAAACTTTAAAGAATTTTGATAAAGAGATCTAGGGGTGGTTCTAGATAAAAACTATCAATCTGAGGACCACATAAAAACATTGTGCAAGGAGCCTATGCTACACTTTCTAACTTAAGAATTGCTTTTAAATACATGGATGGCAAAATACTAAAAGAATTGTTCACAACTTTTGTTCAACCAAAGCTGGAATATGCAGCAATTGTATGGTGCCCATATCTTAAGATATGGTGTACCATACACCATATATGGTGGCACATCATATCTTAAGATATGTGCCCACATATATGGTGTATGGTACACCATATATGTGCCCATATCTTAAGATATGGGCACATCAACAAACTGGTACAGGTGCAAAGACATGCAACTAAATAGCTCCCAGAACTGAAGGACAAAAGCTATGAGGAGAGGTTAGGCATTAAAATATGTCAAACTAGTAGATAGAAGAAAGAGAGGCGATATGATCACTACATACAAAATAGTAATGGGAGTCGATAAAATTGATAAGGAAGAATTACCGAGACCTGTAACTTCAAGAACAAGAGGTTTAACCTCTTGAAGAATCTAGATCTTTCAAGAAATCTTGAAACCCCTAAATCTTTCAAAATCTTGAAACCCCTAAATCTTTCAAGAACAAGATTTAAACTAACTAAACAAAGCCGCCAAAGAAATATAAGAAAATTCACTTTCGCAAACAGTGGTAGACGGATGGAACAAGTTAGGCAAGAAGGTGGTGGAGGCCAAAACCATCAGCAGTTTCATAGCGTTATATGACAAAATGTGCTGGGAAGATGGGACACCACAAGCGTAGCTCTCATCCTGTAACTACACTTTGGTAATTAAATTTC